GAAAATATTCAAGTGTTAATATATACAGCAATGATGAAAATACTTGATCGAAGAGAAAATCTTTTATCAGTATTAAATATGGATACTGTATTAAAGAATATTCCAATGAAATTTACAGATTGCCTATGTCGGAAATTGACAAATTAAAATACTGTATTACTGTAAAAACATGTGATATTGCAGAACAAAAAGAGAAACAACAAGACATTGTCGATGTTGAATAATACGGTCGGTTTATGTGCCGTATCATGCAAAATTGCGGTGAACATACGGATAGTTGTCTTCGTTGACCTGAGTGAAAGTCAAGTACGATGACATAAGTTAAAAGAATTATAAAGGAAACCAGAAGAACAACAATAGAAAATGTATTATTTGAAACCACAAATCAATTCTTACAAGTTGAACTTGTGTATTCCAAATATTACAATGAATCCATATGAAGTTATTCGTCTATTTCAATATTACTTTGTTGATAAAATAATATGTCAAAGATGTCTACAAGTAAAACATTGGGACAGTTTCATGAGTGAATGAATCATGAGAAGTAACTTAAAAAAGCAGCTTTCATTTTTTTTTATAGAAAACTACCATACAGAAGAAATGAATGTAACCCAATCAGAGATGTCCATCGCGGCTCAAAATCTGCCGCTGCCGCGCCGCTCCCGCGACGTGATGGCCTGTTAAAAAAAGCTACCGCGCCGCTGCCGCGACGCGCCTTAAAAAAAACTTGCCGCTACCGCGCCGCTGCCGCGCCGCTGCCGCGCTGGTATTCGAAAAAATGTTTTGATTTTCAAGGCTTTGACTGGTTTGAAATAGAACTGATGCCGCTAATCGATCAGATTCGCTAAGTCTTACAGTATAGCATACATAAACATGCAGATTCTGTGCAAATTCATGAATTTTTGAAATTTTTTCATAAAAAGCTGCCGCCGCCGCGCCGCTGCCGCGACGGCAAAATAAAAATCTCTCCCGCGCCGCTGCCGCGCCGCGATAGTTTTTGGAAAAAATCTGCCGCTGCCGCGCCGCCACCGCCACGGTGGCAGCGGCAGCGGCGCGATGAACATCTCTGAATCCAATTACTAAATAAAAATACAAAAGACGCTTTCGACAATATGGCTCAAAATATCAAATTATTGTTTAATTAATGTCATCAGTTGAAACAGAGTTTGAATGAAAAATTGATTAATATATCCTTTAAATCACTTGATTTCAACGAAATATGTAATGAAAGATATCGTTTCGCACATTTTAACGTACAATAAATTATTGAACAAACATTACTCATCAGTCAATTTCAAAATGAAGTACTTCCAGATGAATATCAACATACATACTCTGGTGTGAGTAATCATATGAGTAACGATGAATCTACACGTCACAAAATTCCAAATCCTTTTATTCAATTTTAACTCACCATTCCCTTTGTCCCGAATGGTCTTCATGAATAGTTCTCCTCATCGTTTTTTCCCTATACTTATGTTCAATTGATATTGGTCTGTGTGAATACTCTTTAGTGATAAAAAAAATTTTTCTCCTTGAAAATGTAAAACAAAGAATTAATACTACAACAGTTTTCAGCAAGACTCTACGGAAGTGAAATATAAAACACGATAGAATCATTTGATATCAGTCACGACATGTGAGACATCTCATCAAGATATCTATCAAAGTATATGATGATGCAGAGAAAGAATTTCGGTATGTTTGTTATAATCTATAGTAGATAGAGTCCATTTGTTTCGTCATAGACTTCAATGTTGATTAGAGTCGTATTTCATCTTGGAGTGTTAATTTACGATTATGTTGAACAATAAAGATAAAGAAAGCAAAATAAAGCTTATCTTTCATGAGAAAATTCACAATAGAAAAGAGGTTACAGAGTATTATATGGTTGTTACTAGGTGAACTCTGTCATATGAAATTTTGTCGATGTGAAAATACGGTAGCTGTAAATATTATCAAGGAAATAATGGACAAACTCATTTTTTTCAACGTTTTTTGAGTAACATAACCATAGATAAGTTTCTATATGACATTCGCTATTTTCTCTAACCTCAATACTCGTTAAGTATTGATTTTGAGTATTTTCTCCAAGGTTTCTCATGTGTTGATCGAATCTTACTAATTATCACCTTTGAATAGTACTTGTAGAGATGGTTTCAGTTCGGTTCAAACTTTGAAAAATCTGAAGCAATTTCATCTTTGCTTAGTTCTTACACATGTTTTACTCCAGAGCAATAATAGTTATTCGAATCATTCTCAATAAAAAAGTTGAAATTACTTTCTGTTTGTATTTATCCGCCATTATCTTAAATTTATTTCAGAATACGACGAGACTCTTCGATTTTCATAGCATTTTTTTTTTCTTGATACTTATTTATCTAAAAGAATTGAATGACATAGATACAGAACAAAACAATTACATGTAGTTTCTTTTTATTTATCTTGATAAATAATTTGATGATTTATTAATCATATAAAGTATTGTGATGTTTTTTTTTGGGTCAATATTATGAAACACAAGTTTTATTCATTTATTTTTTATTTATCTTTACTTTAAAGGAAAGATAAAGATAAATTTACAAATCTGCTTCTGTCAGAAAAGGATAAAATAAGCTTGTCTGCTCGACTATTGTATTTGTCATGCATAAAAGAAATTGGTTAAAATTTGTAGTAAAAAACTTGATTCTAACATAAAAATTATGTGATCAATGTTTTCATTGAGATGCTTCTTTTTCTTGATAGACTTTCTTTCATTTGATTAAAGCTTTCTATTCTTAATAGTAGAACACTGAGAAATATTGTTCTTGAAATTCAATGGAAGAAATTATTCGTTTCTTAACTAGACTTCTTTTTTTCGTCATACATATCGATCAACTTATGTTTTTCATTTCAACTGGTTTAGTTCGTGGCATAGTTTGAATAGATTTGTTGCCTAGTAACATAAACATTCTCAGAACTTGGGGTTTTTTTTTATTAAGAAATGAAGTAAACATATTAATATAAAATTGGTCATTTTTTCCGTTCAACTTTAGTACTACAATAAAATCATTCGTTTTTTAAGAGTAAGCGCTGCTCCACTGGCATTACAACAACGTATTCACGTTGCGACATAGTCAAAAATCGTTATTTCCTACTGTATTATATAATCGCATCGGAAGTATTAGATATAATATATTTCAAAAAGTTAAGTTTCGTGTGACATTTTTAATCTTATCTGATGACATTTTATTCTTATAGTTAAATGCTCATATGTGATTTTGTTACGATTAAATTAGCCGTTTACTTTTTAAACGATATGTACACAACTATCCAATGTGTATCGTTTGTTTAACTCCAATAACTTGTAATCTTCAATATTTGTTACACAATCATGAAAATGTCCGTCATCGATGAGAGACAAGAAAATGATACAAAAAAAAAAACAAATATTTAAATATCAACTTCTTATTGTCAACATATGTAACAGCTTAATTGTCTGGACGATTATGTAAAGCAAGCAAAGGGTAACAAAATTCTTAACATAACGTAGATTTTTTCGACTGTATGATGTAGTTGAAATATAAAAAGGAGAAATAGGAATTGTCGAAGAGATATCAAATTCAATGAAAATTATACAGCCATTTATCAATTTATGTCCGTTGTTTTATGTACTCTTATGTTTAAAATTTTCGGTCATGAGACCGTATATCATGTGATAGTAATAAGGTTTGCATCCAAGTCATACATAAACCATTTGCAGGTCATAGTACGCTAATATAACTGAGAAATTAGAAACTGAACTTGCAAACTCAATAAAACACAATGCATATAAACAAAAGGACGAACTATTGTAGCATTGCTCATGATTCAAACTGGACGAAGGCTATCGATAAATCATTCGAAACAATGTGCGATATTCCGACAAACAATAGTTCTTTTTTAACCTTCAATCTACTATTGGTAGTGCAAAGAAACGTGCAATGTGAGTGATCTCATTATTTCTTTTCATTCAATTACAAGAACAGAATATCTGAAAATCCAAAGAAGTTTACTGAATTCTGTTATATTATTATTGATTCATATAATTATAGTAAATTATTCATGTTGTTATTTTTCTAGACTCAAATGTCGCAATGTTCATCGATCATATTACCATATGTTTCATATGAGTTCTCAACATACGGCATACAAAAGATTATTTAGAATTTTACTTGACTTTTTACAAGTTTGTGAAATTGTAATATTTCTATGAAAATAATTCAAAAACTACCGAAAAATATATCGATCATCTTCAAAAATTTTTCTAGTTTTTCCTATAAGTAATGATATTTATCATATTTATTTTAATCAAAGGAGCATTTATTTCAAATTTATGCACTAAATTTATTTGATATCTACGTATGTTAAACTAATGGTAATCCTTATGAAATTCTAATTAAAAGAATAAATCTTGTCAACATCAGAATACTTTTCTAATGAACAAATCTCATAACTGATACAATAGAAAATTTCAAATCTAATTTGTCTGCAAATGTCATTCAAGTACAATGTTTGACGTTAAAAACAACGTAGCAATTCTTCTATACATAATGACATGTACTTCAAAATTTCAACTATTGCATTATAGAAATATTCTGATTGTTTTTTTTACAAGTTAATTAAAAAGCATGGTTTGATAGTGAGTAGCTGTTTCATTCTTTAAACTTTGTTTTTTTTCGAATGACTCGACATATTTGTTGTCGTTATCATTATAAATGGTGACATATATCTATTTACTTATATAACCTTAGAGAGTTCTTCTTTTTTTTAATTAAATATACTTTTACGTTTATACATACAAAAAAAAAAATAGAAAGAATCACCTAAACAAAAAAATAAATATACAAGTTGTAAACAAAAGAAATATTGAAAGATAGAACATATGTCACAAAAAAAAAATTCATATGAAAGAAAAAAAGAAAACAATATATAATTCAAAGAATTAATACTCATCAATCAATAAATGCAATAATTCTAACTTATAATCCAAGACGTGCAAATGCCATTTGTTTGCGTAGTTCAATTATTTTATTAAAGCGAGTTTGAGCTAAATAAAGATTATTCGAATATAAAAGAAAAAGTAAGTCGTTTTGTTTTTTTTACCATCATTTTTCACAAGACCTAATTGCACATGACGAATAAACGTAAAAAAGTCACAAACTGCTGCAATCTATTTTAATATAAATCTAATAAAAATAAAGTATGAAGTAAAATTACTAACCCGATTACGTGCTAAACGTGATAATAGCCACCATTGACTATCTTCACCTAATCGAACACGATAATCACATTGACAAATTTCACCCATCAATGAACAAGTTCTAAGCAAATTAAAATTTTATAAACTTTTAAAAGCAACTCTAAACAATACATACTTCATATTTCCTTTTGAATGACATGCTTCCATGACCACATCATTTCTTTCTATAGCCGCTAAAACTTTTGACGATAGCTATTAACAAAAAAAAAGGAAATTTCTATTAGATAAATTCATTAAAATTTTGTTTTTTCTTACATCAGCATTAGGAAATGTTAAACATGGTAAAATATCTTCATTATAAATGCGATATATAAATAAAGATGAATCTCGTTCTATACATGGTTTTTCTTCCCAACATATAAATTCTCGAAATAAAATATTATCAATCTAATTAATCAATTAATATACATTTATTTAATCAATTATTGTTTATAAAAAAAAAAGCAATTCAACTTACACTATTATTAGTTGTTGACATATTAGATGATGAACGACATGAATTTAAAATTTGTTTCAATTCATTAACAGATTTTTTTAATTGACTATTTTCAAGAATAAGTGCATCAATCTAAAGTAAAGAATTTTTTTTCATTTAATAAGACATTGACTTCATTTTTTTAAATTTACTGTTTGATTTGAAACTTTTAATTTTTGTTCAGCATTTGCTTGAGCATATTTTGCTTGTTCAACCATTGAATGTGCCGACTAATAAATTAACTTTAATATTTTAAATATTATGAAGAAAAAAATAAGATTTTATTACTTCGAATAATGATGCTGTTAAATCTTCGATTTCTCGATTTGTATTTTCACGCATTTCATTCGCTCGACGAATTTCACCATCTTTAGATTTAAGATCTTCTTTTACACGTTGTAGTTCATTTAGTAATTTTTCTGTTGTTATTGATTGTAAATCATGTTCAAATACTTCTGATGTTCCCATAACTCCACTATCAATACTAAATGTTTCCAAAAACAAAAAAAAAAAAATAATAATCTTTAATCAAATAGTTGATTATGATCAATAATACATACGAATCAAGACTATGTACATCACTTAAATCATTGCCATGATTGAGCATTGCATTGACTAACGAACATTGTTCCATTGTTATTATCTAAAATGAAACAAAAATAACTTAGTCTTATAATTGTTTCAGATGACGGAATAGAAAGAAAAATACAAAGGTGTGCTTATTAGACCGTAAAAAACCTCATTGAAAAAAATAACCTAGACGTGTACTAACAAATGTACATATTGATGAATAAGTACAAACTTTGAGTGCTTTTGATGCCGTTAGTTACCTCACATTATATAATCGTTTATGTAAATCTATCTATAAGAATTAATGACGATCTTATTTCGACATACAACTTCAAAATACATGTTAAAATTATAATAACGACTATTTTCTTTGCCTCATTTACGCATGAATAGTATTGAAGAAAAGTTGATACTCTTTTCTTATGGTTTATATGAAAACGAGGAAAAAAAACTTGAATTCAAGATTGTATTTCTTAAGAAATACAAGTAACAGTAACAAAGTAAGATTAGACAATTGATCCTTATTTGTTTGAATAAAGTAAACGAAAAAAGTCTTTACTGTATATACAGGATAAAACATGACTACAACACATGATTTTGTTGATAGTGTATGACATAAGTATTTAGATGAGAGAAGTTGTTTATTATCTTTTACGTACTCACTTGAAGAATTCAGCAAGGTGAGCAAATAAATTTGAATAATAATGTAGGTAAATTGAAAAGGAACGAAACAATAAAAGAGAAGTGATTGTTGCATGAAATGTGACTACATCGCCCATGTTTCTCTCCTACGCTAGTAGGCGTCTCTTGATGGAAGAAAGAAAAAAGATTCATTCACCATTCATCTTCAAAATGCATAGATGACGCTTTGTGGCAGTCAACTAAACGAATATGTTCATTGATATTGTTGGCATTATGTTCAATCTCTCTCGTGACATTAACTCGACCTGCATATCATTTTCAAAAATGTGATTGAAAGGTAGCAAGAGAATCAAGACATTCTTGAGTTACGAAGTAGCTTAAGATTTTTATCTCGTCTATTTGACTTGATGAAATATTGAAATCAAAATATGAATGTCTTTTTTTGTAGAAGGTTTTCTGTTTTGTTTGTACATATGATAGATAAAAATGTTCAAGTGTGAAATATTCATTTAGGCATTACATCTCTTTGATTACTACAAGCCAAAACAATGCAAATTCATCTATAGACTTTGATTAATCAAAGTTCAACAATATTATCATTTGTACTAAATATAAGAACTTTCTATGCTATTGGCATTATTAAGACGGCAGTTTGTCATTTATATTATTTAGAGAGTAACTGATTACTTTATTCGAATAGTACTTTTAGCTCCGTAAAAAGAAAAGAAACCTTGAAGGTAAGTTCCGTTTCCGGTACTGTACGTCTAGAAAAAAACAACGATTTATATGCTTTTAAAAATGAAATTATATCTAATTGATTTTATATTTAAAATAATAATCGAGCAAGAAAATTTTCAATTTTATCAATGAAAAGAAAAAAAAAACAAATCGTGACATAGAACTTGAAGAAGAAAATCCGATTAGTAAACATGATATTATCTGCTAATTTATTACTTATAACAAAATTATGACATGGAATATTATCCTAACTACTTTTTTATTAACAATAAGAAAAAAACAACAGAAAGCCATAAAACTATGCCATACTCTCACTTTCAAACTCATTTGCTTTGCCAATATTTAATCAGTATTTTTACACTCATTTTATATTCATTCGTCATTTCCATTGTCGTTTGTTCTTTTTGTTGTTGTTGTTTTTGTATTTAAATTTCTTTCTCAAAGAAAAACAGTAGTGGCAACGACGGGCGTAAACTCATACAAAATTCCTTTTTTTTTTATTTTTCATCAACTTCATCATCATCCAACAGTGTTTGAGTGATGCTAGCTGCTGGCGTCGTCGTCGTGCATTGAAAAAAAAAAAATGAGACGCGCGTTGAAATAGAAAAAAAAAAGAAACCTATGTCAAAAAAAATTGTTGTGTGAATGATGCTGTACGTTCAAAAGTAAACATCAATCACTTACTTTTTTCCCTGATGTATATATATACATGTCCGTAAATTTGTCAAGCTTTTTGATATAACATTAGATAGAAATATATCAGAATTGATGCGAAAATTCATTCTTTTTTCGATTAGTCTTTTTTTCTTTGAAATTTAGAACTGTGTATATTTACTAGAAGAATAATATAGAACGAATACGCATGAAAGAAAAAACCGAAGAAAAGAAACCGATTTATAACTATAAATTTATTCTTCTCCTTCTCTTTTTTTTCGGATTTCGATTTGCTTTTGTAAGCATCATATGTTATAGTTGTTTTGACGCTTTCGTTTAGGAGAACATGCAAGACGCGAAGAAAAAAAACCAATGTAAACGAATGATGATACTAGTTTTGTTATAACAGTAGAAAAAAAAACAGAAAGAAAAGAAGACCTGAAATTTTCACATCGTTACTCCATCAATTTACATTTATAATTATATTCTACCATGTAAATTATTATGTCAAATATACAAGACGAATCACATACAAAGATTTCTGATGATCCAGTTAGTAATCCATCATCAGATCATGTAAGTCCTTATCGATCTTTATCAGCCAAACGTCCACGTGATCCATCTCATCGTAAAAATGTTTCATTTAATGATGTTCCTATTGTGCATGAAGTACCATTACATGATACAATGCGTAATTCTAATTGTGATACATATCGTTCATGGACATATACGGATGCAACACCACCAGTATCCCTCACTTCCCCATTTTCATCTTCACAAATTCTTTCACCTTTCAATTCAACAAGTGCTGCAACTCAAAAATTAAATGCTCAGCGTTTAAGTAGTGTCTTATATTCTTCAACGAATAATACAACATTAAATCGATTACCAGATTGGATTACACGAACTAAAACAAATAAACCACCAGAAGCAACAATAGAACATCATACAAATTCGAATACACCATTAATTATTGTAAATACACCTGATGAACGAATAATTAAAAATTCATCTATTAGTCAACAAATTACTTCTGATAGTACAGAAGAAAAAAAACATTTATATCGTGCAGCAGTTGTACCTGATGCGGAACATTATCGAAGTCTTCCATTTACATATGTACCATTATCTGAATCAGCTTCTACATATACATCCATATTATCAACAAATGTTAATCCATCAAATTATTCGTTTCATGATCAATCTTCTACTGGACATACACGTATAAGACGTGCCCGTTCAGCTACTGTACCAGTAACTATAACTCATTCATCAATTCGTAATCATGATAATGTTTCAATTACACCTATTCGTACAGCAGCAACAACTACTTTATCAAATAGTTTATTAACATCATCATCACCATCATCATTGTCACGGACAATTTTAAAACCAACAACAATTGCTTTTCAATGCTCACAACCAGCAACATCAACAACCAATACGTGTTCAACATTAGGTATTACAAATACATCAACATCAAAATCACCACAAATTACACCACGTTTTAGTTCATCACCTGTTCATTCTCGTTTAACTTCAGCCGCTAATCGACCATTATCATCATCAATTAAATATGCTTATGCTCATCCAACAGCGGATTCAATATTAAAATCATCTCCTACTGTATTTCCTCGTTCACGTTCTGCAAATGTTTTAAATGCAAAACGTAATACAGCTTCACCTGTTGTTATGCTTGAGGGACAATCAGGAGGAACTAATCATACAAATATATATGCAACAACAAAACGCAATCCTAATATAAGACAAACTTATGGTTCTCATTATATGCACCGTGTTCTTTTACCAGCGAATATTAATTGAAAGAAAATTTGTATATTTATATAGATATTTTTTTTTCTCTTCTTGTGCTAATTGATTTTTTTTCTTAAATACTTGCTTAAAACCTTTCACTGATCATCATCATCATCATCATGTTGATATATATTTGCACAAGTATCTATATAGAACTAATTTATTTGGTAAATTATCTTTTATCTTCAATGATAAACAGGTGACTCTTCTAATCCTTCTTTTATTCTATTTGTTGACTCAAGGCTTGCTTAATATTCTGAATTCGATCTTTGAACAAACATTATACAAAAAAAAGTATTTAAGCAACATTACGAAGGTTAAATAGAAAGTGAGAGAGAAAGGGTAAGTGAACGAAAAAAAAAAAAGCCTAATCATTTCGTTTATGCTTGCTCATTGGATATGATATGGTGTGAACAACATGAAGTTTATCATTGCTTTCTTCTTGTTTGATCGATAAAATAAGATAGCATTACTGGTGTATATTCCATCTGACTATCGTTCCCATCGTTACTCACAAATTACTTGTGATTGTTGGCTTAAGATACCATTCTCACCATCAATGTTGGCTTAAAGATAGGCAAACGAATATAAATATATATATATATATATATATGCGTTCGTGTGTGTGTGCACTATTCGTTTTTTTTCTTCTTATTCTCTCTCTTATGAGTATATAAAAGCAACTTTTTTTTTTCAAAACGATTCAGTGAATTATTTATTTGTCTCAAATTGCGCTCGATCGTGCGAGTTAGGACGGACAATGACAATGAAGACGAAATTCTTTGTTCGTCTGGCTCGTATTATTGGTGCAATATATAAAACGACGTTTACAAAAAAAAAAAGTACTAGATAATCAAATGGTGGTAAGTTTCATAGGGTTTTGATTACAGATATCAACAAAATGCAAAAAAAAAGAAAAACTAATCAATCTACGAATTCCGTCTAATGTTTAGACGTAGTAAATATTCTTATCATCATCTAATGTTTACCATGCGCATCATCTTATATTTCTAACAAGTAACTATCAGAATCTAACATCTCTTCAAATGGTTTTTTGCTTAATATGGTTATTTTAGATGAAATAATGATGATTATTTTGAAGATCAGGTTAAATTGAATGGGCATGTTGGACTATAATATTTTATTGTTATTATTAAGAATTTTTTTTTTTTTTGAATAAAAAAAGCTTGACATGTTTCTGCTTTTTTTTTAATCAATGAAAAAGACAAACGATTAATGGTTCATAATCCAAAGATTACGAGTAACATTTGTCATTTTTATAGACATATAGATCAATTAGTAACTTTTTGTTTTTTTTTCTTAATCAAAAAAAAAAAATCCGTCTGATAAAAGTCATACGAGAGTTGTATTATGATGTTCTAACTAAGTATTAAATTCTCAAGTGTTTTTTCTCTATATCATGTTAATTCATTTGTTAACTTTCTATTATAATGCATAAACACAATCTGGAAATAAACATACGTGTGTGTGTGTTAGCATAAAATATTTGTTTATAATAATATACGGAATGTGACAGTACGTCATACCAAGTCTAACAAATGTGATTATAAAGAGTTAAGCAGATGCTCATTCAGAGTCCAAAGTGTTGTCGGGATTAATTTTTCTTTTCTTATATTTAATATAAAGTCAAAGTAAGTGCGTATGCTGTGTTGCTCTTTTCTTTATCTCTAGTTTTTCTATAGATAGATACGTATTTTATATGGCACATAGTAATGACACGATTTCCTCTTCTCTTTTTCCGTCGCCGTCGTTTTTTTGTCACTTAGCAAACATAAATTTTAGATCTCTTATCTTGATCTGAGTGCACATAGATCTATTCGTATTTTAGTTGATGACAATCAGATGAACTTTTTTTTTATGGGGAAAATAATCCATGTCTCATCTCTTTTTTACTTATTATTATTATTATTATTATTATTATTAGCTTGAACCATTATATATTAAAAAAAAACTAATGAGATCAGTCGACACAACTTCTATTATAGCGGACGATGTCGAAGTCTTTCATTTGACAATCTTATTTTATAATAATGACAATGTAGGGTATGATGAGAAAAATAGATTTTCTTTTTGTCATTAATAATGAACTGAAAATAATCAAATGAGTGTATTTTGAAAAACAACAAGAATATATGAGAGATTCTCTTGAAAGTTTGTTGAAGAAAACAAATCTATTCAGCTAACATTGACGTACTTAATAATTCTTATTTAAGAAATAAAACGTGGCATGCTTGAAAGATGATAAATTATCAAAAATTATTTTATGTCTAATACAATCGAGCAATTGTTCTAATATATTTCGCTATCTATTATATATTCACATAAGAAAATAATATATAGAAAAATATAGTAGGTAGTAGTGAAGAATAATTTTATAATAAAGAAAGTATATATGATTGCATGAAATTAAGTGATGGTAAGTAGTTACTGGTTTATTTTTATAAATTTCTTCCATGAATAAAAATTTCTTCTCTTTTTTTTTTTATTTATTTTGTCTCTATTAAAGCATTTTATGAATAAATTTACATAAATATAAGGTCATATGCTGCTCTTCGACTTCCTGAAGCATAATTTACATAAATCATAAAATATTTCTTTATGAATAATAATGTTAAATTTATCTCTATAATATTTTTTTAATTTGTATCTTATTTATTATAGAAGAATGTTCTATATATTCATAATACACCACCCAAGAATAGAATGAGCTCAGTTTTACATATAGAAAATGGAGAAACTAGCGTACGTGCCTATTATGAGAATTTTTTTGTTATAAATTATCTAAAAGATGTAATACGATAATAGACGTTATTTATTAGATAAAGCAACTAAGTATAAAGAACATGGGAATTACGTTAAAAAACATGTTCTCGAATATTGTTATTATAAATTTTGACAATCTAATTGATAATCTTTGTCTATTCATTATTATTTAATATATTTCTCTCTATAATAGTCTTGAATAAAATATCAAGCATTATTTCATGAAGATCTTTTCTTTTTCTTTGTACTCTTTATTCATTGTATATATTTCTTAGATTAATTTAACTTTCATAATGAAATATTCTAATAATACACATGTTGTTTCAATACATACTACATCATCAATTAATACAATGGATTCTGAAGCAAGAGGTTGTGAATCAGATATATTGATATTAATAATGAAAATTCAACCAATATTTTTATTAATATTTGGTTTTTTAGCAAATATATGTTCATTTATTGTTCTTATACAACCACGTTTACGTCGTCGACCAACATTTTCTTATCTTGCTTTTCTTAGTTTATCAAATGCATTTTTATCTTTAATTCATGCTTTTTTTACTATTATTGGTGTATATTTTGGTTTAACATTAGAAAATTTATCATTATTTATATTTTGCCGATTATTAAATAGATTTTTAATTGATTTTTTAACACATTTTTCATTATTTACATTAACAGCTGTTGATCTTGATCGTTGTCGTACAGTAACATCAACAATAACTTTAAATCAACGTTATTATCATGAAGATCGTATTCGACAATATGGTTGTTCAAAAGCATTTATTCGTGTTTGTTTAATTGAATTATCATTTGCTTTAGTTTTATTTTTTCTTAATTTACATTGGTTAACATCATATGGTTATATAAAACAACGTATGAATTTAAATAATACAATAAATATAACAATGTGTACAATAGCAGATAAAAATGGTTCTCTATCATTTTATGGAAAATATTTAACATCAATATTACCATTTATTGAATTAATTTTATTTGGTATTTTACCTTTTTCAATAAGTTTAGTTACAACAATAATTATATTAAGACATGTATCAATAAAATATACATCAATAAATTCTCATAATAAACATTTAAGACATTCACGTCGTCGAATAGAATTACATTTATCAATATTACTTATTTCACTTAATTGTGTATATATATTATTTACTACACCACATAATATATTCAGTGTATATATAGGACAATTACATAATGAATTAGATAATAAATATGAAAGTCAAGATCAATTATGTTCAATAGCTATTACACAAAAAAGTTTAGATTTATTACAACAATGTTATTTTATGTCAACATTTTTTCTATATATATTAACAAATAAACGTTTTCGAGAAGAATTCTATCGATTATTACAATGTTTTGTATTTATTTTATGTCGAAATACGAATACAAATAATTCACAAATACAAATATCAACATATCAAAATAGAATTTTTAATAATAGAAATAATAATAATAATAATAATAATGATGGTATAAACAATCATCATCATCTTAATCAAAATTATTTAATAGCACCATCTCGTGATGTATCTGGAAGTTGGAGTTCTATGAGTGATACTTTAGAAGCAAATGAACTAGTATCAATATTAAATAAAAAATGAAGTATGTTTTATTATTCATTAAACATAAACTGAAAGAGAATACTTGTTTGTTGGTTTTGTTTCTTCTTTACATTGTATAATTATGTTAGAAATTCTTTGTAAACGCTAGTCAATCAATGTTTGTATATATATATATTTAAATAAAATAAAAAATGTTTATTTAAGATTCAATTGAACTAATCTTTAAAAAGTACTCAGTATAACATTCTAGACTCTAGAGGAAATAATGTATAAAAAAAAAATGTTTATGACAAATTATCGTTGACATTTTACAAGAAATTTTTTATTAATGTTATCTATTGTCAATAGATGGAATTTTTTTAATTATCTAACTCAACATGACAGTTAATGAATGTGTGCTTGTAAAGAAAAAAAAAAAAATGTTGAACTCTTTTGAAATCCATCGATGACTTGCATCATGTCTTCAATGGTTAGTCTAACATGACTTTCATTTGTCTTGTCTAGTGCTTACATCATTATAAAATTATAGTTAATGTTGTTCTTTTTTCTGGTTTTTCTAAAAAAAACAAGGATTCACATCGATAAGTAAGCAACAAAAATCAGAAATTATGTTGATATTCATTCGAATCGAATAGACATCGTCTAATGTATCTTTTTTTGTTTTAAAAATAAACTATCAACTTTGATGTTGGTTGGTTTTTTAGTCTTGTTAGTAATTTCATATTTTGAAATCATGTTTTTTTTTTTTCTTACTAATGAAGTTGAAAAACAAAAAGAATTGTTATTGTTGTTTCGTTCTGTGCATTTTGTATTTCTTCCGTTGACTTATGAATTTTATCTACACAATGTCAGTGAGTAAATATTTGTGATGTCAAAATGAATTTGTCCTCATGGATATTTTAGAAGTTGTTTTTTTTTATTTTGACGTAGATTTCATTTTTAGTTAATTTAGTGTTCATATTGATGAGAAAATAATAGGTAATAAGAATATTTTTATTGTTTATTATACTAAATTATATTTTAGAAAGAAGAAAAACTTCTGAAACAATAGAATGAATATTAATCATAAGTTAATTAATAATTAGATTTTTTCTTTTTCAACAAAATTATATATATATGATTAGTTTACGAACTAATCGAAGTATTTTATGTCATTTGTATTTGATGTGAATATTGATGAAATTTAAAAAGACATTAGCATACATTGTGAATTCAAAGTTGGTAGAAAATTAGCATAGAGAAGAAAAGAATTAATTTTAACTTGTTTTCGTTCGAAAGTCGTCTCATAAATTCGTTATATAAACTATCAGTGACATCTATTTGAAAAACTAATGTGATTATTTTAATAGACTATCTTATTAAAATTCTCTTTTAAAGTTGAGAAAATTGATTGTATATAAATACTGAAATTTCTTCATCGAAAAAACAAAATGCTTGTTACCAAGGTGAAGTAAAGGACTGTTATGGCGACATTGAATCAATGTGTAACATCCGATAAAAAAAAACTTGTATACTTATACCTTTATTTCCTAGTGATTGTTGATTTCAGATAATTAATTATTTCATTAATATATATTCACGTTGAAAAAGAAAACGAAATTCGAATGGCCAATCATGAAAATGATAATGATTCACCACAAGTTTATCTCTTAGGGAAAACTTACTTAGCTAACAATCAAGGACAATTTTATATTCGAAATGATCCTATTGTTCATATGGCTGCTGGTGATCGACATACAATTATTGTTACTGAAAGTGGTCGTGCATTTGCTTTTGGTGATAATGGTTCAGGTAGAATAATAAAAAAAACTTTTTTTTTTTTTCGAAAAACAACAAATATTTAGGTCAATTGGGTCTTGGTCATACAAATAATGTTGAAAAAGTTTCATGTATTAAAACTTTGAAATTCGGAGAAACAGGTGAAAAAGTTATATTAGCAGCATGTGGTCGTGAATCATCATTAGTTGCTACAAATCGTGGTGCGATATTTGCATTTGGTTCGAATAGTCGTTCACAATTAGGAATTTCATCACCAGATTCAAACACAATTCATCCTCATCCTGTTAAAATCGAATATTTTAAAGGAAAAATCGTTTGGAAACAAATAGCTATGGGTGCTGAACATGCATGTGCATTAAATGATGAAGGTGTAGTATATGTTTGGGGTGCAAATGATGATGGTCAATGTGCACAACCACGTAAACATGATGTAATTCAAGTACCAAGAGAACTTCGAATAGAATCTCAAGTTATAGCCATGTAAATATAAAGATGAATAAAAATGAACTAATTTTGAATTCTATTTCATTTTTAGATCATGTGGATATTATCATACGGCATTAATTGATGAAAATGGTCGTTTATTATTATTTGGAAATAATGATGATAGACAATTAGGACGTACAGTGTCTGATAAATTTGCTGGTCCAATAGAAGTTTCAATGCCAAATAAAGTTAAAGCTGTTGCTTGTGGAAATCAACATACTGTTGTATTGACTGAAATTGGAGAAGTATATACATGTGGTATGATATATTTTCTTTTATTCATTTATTCTGAATGAAATACACACACAAGAGCTTTTTTTTATGAAAATACAAATATATAAGAGTGATGTTTATTGAAAAATTTATTCAAAAAAAAAACATTATCCTTTTCTTGTTAGTGACTGCGGGTGTCGTATTAGAAATCGTGTGAACATTTATTAATATTAATGCTTTAGGCATTAATATATAATTTAACCTTAATGTGTTAGTATTATTTGCATTAGAATTAATTAATGCTGAAGTGTTAGCATATTTTAAATGGTACTATATAGAATATCGACAAGTAGATCTTAGATACATAGACTTAAGAAGTTTCCAAAACCGAATGATTTTGTTCTGTTGTGGAAAAAAGCACTTTTTGACAGATGTGTAGCATTTGTTGCTAAAATAAAATGTTTTGTTCTACAAAGAAAAGTTCTTTAACAAATTCCTCGCTATCAAAATAAAAGAAGTGGCTTTTTTTTCAAATATATATTTAAAGAGATCAAGAGAAAAACAAAACTATTATACTCAAAAGAAATTGATAAATTCAAATAATATTGAGGTATTAAGGTTAGTTTTACTACTAATTCGTAAAGCATTAGCATTCTTATAATACTAATGCTAATCTGATATCTCTATTCAAGACGAAAACATGTCTTTTGTTTCAGATAGATTTAATATGTTCCTTGTTTCAACAAATTGTGTAGTATTTTTTATGCAGTAAATAAGATTTGTTAGATAATCAAACTTGCCTCATACATTATTATGCATAAATAAAAATCTATACGAATTGTTTTTTAAATCAATAGAACAATTAGATTAGGTTCTACACTAACAGTAAGTTTTCAATTCGGATTGAAAGGAATTCTAGATGATCTCTCAGGTACGAGTCATCTTTTCGTGATTCGATTTAAGAGAAGAAAAGAAATGTTTTTAAATTTTGATTTCATTTTTTATACTTCGCTAATTTTGCATTGTTAGCATGAAGCAGATATGCAATAGAAATTTTAGAGAAAGAAAAATATTCATGTCAAACAAACGGATGGTAAGAATGTTTGAAGAATTGTATAGTAGAATTCAGTTTAAGATTTACATAACTACGATTCTTTGACTTTGATAATATGTACAATGTCTTCTAAAGTTACAAAATGTTCAGATCATTGACCCGACCGTAGTTAAATCCGATTTGAATCATACTTATGTCTATTAATGAATACTTTCATTGAATTTTAATTACTAGGACATGGTGCTCGTGGTCAACTTGGCCTTGGTCCTAGAGTTTTAATAGCAGAAAGCTTTGAAAGTGTTCAAGGTTTACCAAAACGTATTGGAACTATTGCTGCTGGTGAAGGTCATACAGTTGTTCTTTCTGTTCGTGGTGATATGTATGTATTTGGTGATGGTAAACATGGAAAATTAGGTTCACAAACTCATTCAAATGAATTTGTACCATATTTGGTTGATAGATTTAAAACATACAATGTCTCAAAGGTTGTTTGTGGTGGTTGTCAAACAATAGTTCTTGCTCAAAAGAAAACTGGTGAACAAAAATTATTATCAGAAAGTGAAGAAGATAGTGAAAGTATGTTTTCAATGACGATTTAAAGAAAAAAACATCGTAATATTTTTCATTTCTCTTATTATTTTTAGGTAAAACACTTTCAACAACTATGCATTCGATGAGTCGAGCACGAAGTATGCGTCATAAAACAAAAGCTGATCTTGCAAATAAAGTTGGCGATTCAATTGATACAAAGCTTCATCATGTTAGACCACTTGGAGCATCAAATCATTTACGTGTTGAATCTGATGATGATGATAAATCTGATAAGGAATTATCGGCATCAATGAAAAGTGCTACATTTAATCAGACACATACGGTGACAAACGGCGCATTTCGTCCAACACAAAGTCCATCATTAAATCGTACTAGTTTACGTCCAAATGATGGCAATTATCAACCATTAAGAACAGGTGCCTTAGATCGTACAGTTCATCTTAATAAAGATACGGATGATTCAATAAAAACAAATAATCGTTTTCCACCTATTGATAAATCACCTATACGTAATACAAGATTAGAGCGTACAAGTCCACCACCTCTCAGAAGAAAACAAGATTCAGATGAAGATAAATCATCATCAGAAGAACCAGCAAAATCATTTACTAAGAAACCTGAACAATCATCGCCACAATTACGAAATGAACGAAAAAATTCTCCCATATCACGACGTAGAGATGATAGTGAAAGTGATGATAATAGATTCAAACGCTCGCCTCCTACTAAAGCACCTATGAGTGAAGCATTAAATCGAAAAGCTCGTTCACATCATCGATCAGATGATGAAGAAGAGGAGGATGAAGAAGACGAAGATGAAGAAGATAGTCGCAGATTATCCAGTCGTTCAAACAAACAACAACCACCACCAACCGTTGCACGCCGAAGTTCATTACCACCTCAAACACGTTCTGGAGCACCTATTTCATCAGCACGTGATGGAAATCAAACAATTGGTTCAAAACCAAGCGATGGTGTTCGAGGCAGTTTTCGTTCACAAGCAAATAAAACACTTGCCAAACCAAATACAACAACGTCAAATACTGATACAACAAAAAAAGAAACACCACCTGCTCAGCAACCAGGTTTTTTTGCACGACTTTTTGGTTCTAAATCAACACCAACATCATCACCACCACCACCACCACCACCACCACAACCGGCAAAAACACCAGCAACAAATACTAGTTCAAGAACGTGTTCAATTATGTAGAAAAAAGCTTTCGATAGAACCAAAGCTTGTATATAAATATATATATGTTGGTTTTTAAAAGTTTCTTTTCTATTACTATTTGTATGTCAGTAAAGAGTTGTTTGATTAAGTTTTCATTGTAGAAGATGAATGTATTCAGGTTGGGGTTTTTTTTCTTTTCTCTATTTAGTTACTTGGTTGTTGAAATCAAAAATTACTAACATAAAAAAATTTTAATTTTGATGATTTCTCTTTCAATCGATTTTTAATACAGTAAAAATAACACTTCACGAATAAAGTAATAAATAAAATTAGTTGTTAATTATTTTTGTCTTACAATTAATTCATTTAATATGAATATTATGAGCACTGTCTAAAAAAATAGTTTCTGAATTACTTAATACAAAAATTTTAATATCACTCAGAAACTATAAAGTGTGAGTATAGCAGTAGAGAAGAGCTTAATCTGCACAGTGACATCCATACTCCACACTCGGAATAGAGGTAAGAACAATTCAAGTTGTACGATCATGTACTGAAAACTGCCGCTTGTCTCATCTGTACTTCGATTAAGCCAGATGAGAGTAAATTGATCGAAAGCTTGTTGTTATTCACGTGTGTATGTGTGCCATAGACACCACAATATCGATCGTTTATAGATACATACGTGTTTGTAACTCAATGTGACTACGATAACAAAATCATATTTTTCTCCGTCACTTTTGCTGTTCTTTTACTTTATGTGACGAACAAAAGAATCAGATCAATAGATAGATTTCGTTTCAATGTAAACAATTTCTATTCTTTACTCTGGACTAAGTCGATGAATCATCACCATTTGACTCCATTGACTCACCGTCAATATCCGTTTTATTGTCCAGTGGAGTTGATTCCATATGGTTGATCAAGAAATGACTGAAAGTCTGTTTTAAGAGACGCAATATTGTAAAGGAAAATAAAAACAAAGCAATCCGAACTCCCAGATTTGAACTGGGGACCTATAGGTTACTACAATACATATACCATTACAGCCTACCGCTCTGCCAACTGAGCTAAGTTCGGATGCTGAATGAAGATCGAAACGTAGACAACTTCCGAACTTGATTCAGTTGATTATCAGCCACATTCACTTTTTTAATAGATATGGTGTATTGAATAATAAATTCTGCTTGACTTTTTTCAGCTCTCAATCATCCGATTTCATTGAAACTGTCATACATTATTAATGATAGCAAGGCGTCACGCTTGTAATTGCAGTTTCTGTTAGATTAACCATCGCTTTAGTATATCTTTAGACTTGATACATTGTTCATTCATCTTGGTCGAATTATGAGCTCTTGCTTGGTTGAAATTGAACGCACTCATCTGACGAAGAGTTCCGTCTAGCATGCTAAGTGTACCATGTATAAATGGTATTAGAAAAAGAATGGTCATCTATATTTAGAAAAGTCTTCTCATATACTTTTATGGTCGCACATATTAAGAGGTAGTCTTATCCATTTCCGTTGTCCATTGCGTCTGTTGTTCTAGATGCCTGCTTTTGTACATTCCACAATTCGAAGAAAGAGGTACATTATGACAATACATGTTTCATAGCAGATGTACAATTGAATTTATTGTTTTAAACTATGAATTCATACATTTTCAATGAAAGATGAAACGCTACAAATACTATGAAGTTGATTATCTCTTTATTTGCTTGAGAATGTCAAAATTAGATCAAGTCAAGATAGAGTAGTGAATAGCATAGGCTATTTTTCATAGTATACATGAATATTATCATTAATTGGAATAAAAATCCTGCTTTTGAAAAAAATTCATCCGTTCGTGATCAGGTCTTCAATTCTGACTCGATCAACCAAGAGAACACAGTTGCCAATAGAAAAGAAAATAGTAGCGGATGTAGATTTTATAAGAGACAACAATGCTCCTATGTTTAAGAAGTGAGTTTGGCAATGCCACATTTGCGTCTTTATGATAACTCATCATTTGGTAACGTATAACTCTGTTTTATAAATGTATTCAATTTCACTTGAAGAAAACCTGCATATTGACCTGAATTTTTAATGCTCTTTGCTGTTTTCAAAATTGAAAATACAGTATTTTGCAATGTTTTTTAATTTGTTTTGAAGAAATAAACGAGTAAAGATCTGCATCTAAGCTATCAGATACAAAGACTCATAAAATATCCTAATGAAACATTTCAAATAGAGAAAACTTTCGAATGTTTATGAAAAACTCAATCGAATGCATTCTAATCGTTTTAGCATTTTTACATAGCAATGTAACTTTTAAGAGAATAGATGATTCACTTTTTGTAATTATTTTATTGCTTGAGAACAATGAGTAACATTTGATAATGGTTAGAAAGTGTAATATTCAGTTAAAATATGACAAAAACAAAAGAAATCCCAATGATCAATGAAAATTGTTGGAGTTTAGTACCATGATCTAATTTCAATAGAAAACGTTTCTATATCAACAATTAAATACTAAATAGATGATGCAAAACATTATGCATTGAATTATATCTATTGATAAGCGTCGACTTTATCCAGAGCTGCTAACTGTGTCCCATTTCGATTTCGACCTTTTGCACTCTATTTAGACTTTTCCTTTTACATTGTAAATGAATCATCTTTGAGCAGAGTTAATGAAATTTTTCTTTTAACTAGAGTCATTTTGGTAGGGATATGAGATCTAAATCGTATTGACTAACTAATAATTAGTAATTGTAGGCAATCGTTGCATCTACTAACGAGGGAACATTCCCAAGTGTCCCATCGTTTTTGAGTTCGGACTCTATGCATAAGGTAGATCCCAGTGATTTATGAAAAACCTCAGAAGAATAAGTGCCCTTAGGCCTTCTGTCTAGAGTTATAGGCATTTTACCAAAATTTCAGCCTTTGGCATGGTAAATACCGACAAATCAAATGATGGCATTTCGACCTAAGATTTTGCCCACAAATAGATCTATTTGTGAGTAGAATACGCTGAAAATTTCAGCTCAAAAGAATGTTTTATTCCTGAGATATTAAAGTCCCAAAAATCAATAATATCCCACGAAAGATGCTAGAATTTACTGTTTTTTGGGACTTTAATATCTCAGGAATAAAACATTCTTTTGAGCTGAAATTTTCAGGATATTCTACTCGTAAATAGATCTATCTGTGGACAAAATCTCAGGTCGAAATACAGTCATTCGATTTATCGGTATATACCATGCCAAAGGCTAAAATTTCGGTAAAATGCCTATAACTCTAGACAGAAGGCCTAAGGGCACTTATTCTTCTGAGGTTTTTCATACATCACTAGGATCTACCTTATGCATAGAGTTCGAACTCAAAAACGATGGGACACTTGGGAATGTTCCCTCGTAAGATTTGTCTTTTCTGGTTTTTTTAATTTCTCAGTTACACGCCAAAGTCAAATCAAATTCTTGATGAATTTTTGCTAGGTGAAAAACTAGATTTTGATCTACAAAAACTCATTCTAAAACTACAAAACCCATACAGTTTCATAAAAATTTTAAAAATAGCAAACGCATAAATTATTTGGAAAGAAAATCTCTCATCACTCGCGGAATAATGAAAATCAAACCACAGTCGTGGAAATCAACCTTGAACTTCTCGGAGTAGTCATTCCTCAGTCTTGATATCGTTTTTGACATTATTTCTTTTACCTCTTTGACTGCCATATAATTTTCGTGATGGTTCTCCTACCTTCCGATTAACTATGGCTTTCGAGTAGTTTGGACATACCACATCTCGAAAACTACATATTAGTCGACACAGTTGGAAAGTATTCCTAAATTATAGTCTGCTCAATATACTTGAAAGTTAACTGGATAACCGTATCTCGATCAAGAAAAGCGTAACTTACATGGAAAGCATATTTCGATCCTGAAAACTTCAAAAGCCTCAAGAAAATACAGTCTCAGTCGATAAATGTAAAAAAACTGCTTCTATCGAGAAAATCAAAATCCCGTCGAAAAATATCTCGATCGAAAATATTGAAAATGTGCTCAAATTGGTGCTGCTGATGCTTACTGCAGTAATATTGCTGGAGTTGCCTCGAAATATAATATTTAGACATTATCCTTTATGTACAAGCTTTCTTTAAAATCCAGTTTTCTCCCCTTAGTTTCGAAGTTTTTCTCTTGTTTTTGAACAGTTCAGTTTATTCATCTTGATTTGTCTTCAAAAGGCTAAAAAAGAATCATTTTTGACTGTAAATTTTGACTAAATGAACAAAGGTGATCTGATCCACTCAGATGTCATGATCGTAGAAGAAAGCAAAGAAGCAGCTAACGAGGGAACTTCCCTAGGTGAAGCTTCGTTTTAGACGTGATATGTTGCTCATATATAGGGCTTAATGAGATTAAAAAAACCCTAAAATGGTTTGGGTTTGTGTGGCTTCCTCGTTGATATATGACGTTCACATCTTGATGGAAAATGCCACTATTTATATTGAGATGCGTTGTAATGTAGATTTTTCCACAACAACGAGTGGTACTACTCACAAAGGTCATTGGTAGGACACTTTTTTTAGTCTGAAAAAAGATAACTAACTTCAGATATGAAACTTTCATACTGAACATGAGCTTGCATTAACAAGGGTATTCACAATGAAGTCGACTTTTTAGACGAGACGCGCACACACATGGATGGATAATAAAAGGATAGTATAAAGAAGACACAGAATTCTAATAGTTTGCTCTTCCTAATACTAGCCGGTCATTCTTTTCACCGGGTATAAGAAAATAAAGTCGATACTATCGTTCACTTAAATGAGTGTGTTCATCCACGTCTCGTTAGAAACAAAGTTGATTTCAATTTGGGTACCGCTGTTCATGCAAGCTAAGGTTAGACAAGATAGCCTCATATCTGAAGTTAGCTATCTTTTACAGAACTAAAAAAGTGTCCTACCAATAACCATTGTGAAATGCAGTACACACATAAAGATTATGAGTAGTATTGCTCCTTGTTGTGGAAACGACTACACTACAGCGTATGCTAATATAAATGAAGGCATTTTCGATCAAGATGTGCACTTCATATATCAACAAGGAAGCCACAGAAATCCAAATCATTTTAGGATTTTTAATATTCTCACTAAGGTCTACACGTGGACAAAATGTCATCTCCAAAACGGAGCTTTATGTGGGAGACTTCTCTTGTAAACACGGATCCGAAAATACAACAACCTCATTGAACGCTGTCTTTCAAAGGAAAAGTTAACTATGGCCTCTTATTTGCTATAAAAAGCATTCACTCCAGCTGTTCTTTCGCATCCTACTCTTGAATTTTGGAAAAATCATGTGCCCATCAATGTATCCTATTTGAAAAAAATTGTACCCTACAGGTACCTCATTCGACACCTTCGAAGTTGACAACCCTGGATGAGATTGATAAGTAAAACAAAAAAGAACAACTTTTAATAAAAAAAAAAGAAAATATCCACTTCACTAAAACATATGCTCAAGGAAATCTATGTTGAATAAAAATACTCAACAGAAATAAAACCACTAACTGGAACCTGCTAATCAACTAGTTGAAAAATGAGTATCTTAATCATTGCAAACACCATGTGAAAATATTCTTATCATTTACACAATAATTAACTTGACTTTCCTTGAATTATTCAAAGAACGAATTGAATGGTTGAAATGTGTTCCAACAATTATACAAACTAGCAATTTTCCTTAAATTGACAAGTAAGAGCTGCAAAACTTATCAACGTTATGTAGTCATCGCTCTGGTATGATGGTGATTTGAACAGAACAAAGGGTATTACACAGAACTTGCTGTATGGAAAATACACTAGATGTGAACTCAGAGCAGGTATCATCAATTAATTAGTAAATATTGAGTTATTTTATATTTTTATATGTACTTCATCATGAATATAAATGAAATATCTTAATTTATTAGTAATTTTACTTTATTGATTCTTGATACGTTCAAATCAATTACAAATCAAGTATTACAATCAAATAAATATAGAAAAAAGTGATAATTCAAATCAAGATCAAGTAATTTAGCAACACTTTTAGCGTTTTGTTTGTTAGGCTTTGAAGAAAATGATTTTATTTTATTACTTTTAATATCTTTAACAAAAATTATTTTATGCCGGCTGGTTTTTTTGTCTCTATTAGTTGTATCTTTTTTCTATTGATTGATTATGAAACGAAAGATTCTATATTTTATTCCTTATTAATAGGCTTACCAAATGAAAAATGGAAAATATAAAAAGCGAATTAGCTTAATTAGAGCCTGGGCCGATACCATTTATTAAGATACATGGATTAATTTTCACTCGAATCTTTCCTCTATTGCCATTCATTAACACTTACGAATCAAACGGATCCATTTAATGTAATCTCATTCGTAGTACTAAATAGATATTATGATATCATTAAAGAGTCTATTACATAATTATACTTGAATCTAAGTACTTTACTAGTTCAAGGCTATGTTCATACTAGTCTGATAGTGTTGACCCTTGTTTTTATGCAGCAATTAGACTATTGGGAGCATTTTGGAAAATATTTCAAAAATTTGTGTAGCAATTACTATAAGTCAGTAAATATTAAACTCTCTTCAATGAAATACAATGCAAATTAACGATGAAAGAGTTATTTGATCGTTTTCGGTACAAAGTGTAGCACATAAATGCTATCATAGCCATCCTTATAGAACAAATATAAAGGATTGATTAAGATCAAATCAAGGATCAGCTCAAATGGATTAGCAATTGTAAATACAAATAAAACATGATAAGGACCTAAATAAAACTATTTTTATGAAGAATAAAAATTGAACTCATAATCATCCGATAATAGAGAATTTTGATAAGAATTATTCATTGATAAAAGATAAAGAATTAGAAGCAAATGAACATACATCTAATTTATGCAAAACAATTATTACTGCGAATGGTTCATCATATCACAATTGAAAATTAGTAAATGAAAAGTTTGGAATTGATGTAACAAGAAAGGATATAAATAATTTTAAATAAAAGATAAAATTTAACCTAATTGGGAAGAAAAGTATTTCAGAACCGTTGCAAACATGAATCAATCAAATTTTAAATGAAAATCCAAGCAATGCACTACAAATTGAGATTAATGAAAATGGTATTTTAGAATTTTAATACATTCGGACTGTTCCAATAGAAACATGGCTTGAGAAATACCCGAACTTACTACATTTAGATTCAACGGTTAAGGTGAACATAGATAATTATATGTTATACATATTTGTATATATTTGGCACTAAAAGCAAATTTAAAAGGAGTACCTGTCGGTTATCGCCTAATGATCACTGAAAATAAAAATAATTTAGAATGTTTTTATTCAGCAATGAGTAAACATGAAGATTTAACATAAATGCAAGTTGTTGTTATTGACAAAGATTTAATAAACGTTAACATTTTACAACAATATTTTGATAAAGCACAAATATTATTATGCATTTTCCATACTCTGAAATCTTTGAAAAAACGAATTCATGAGCATGAAATTTCCTTAACAAAGCAAATACATGTTATGAAAAATATTTTCAGATTGCTTTACGATAATGATCACATATTGGTTATATATTTTAAAAAAGAAATCAAAACTAATTCAGAAGGAGCTGCTTTCTACGGAATTTAAGAAGTCAATTAGCTATTGTGTTGTGAAATGTGGCAAAAAAAACATTGTAAAAGTCGACTTAACAGTGATACAGATACCAATAAACATTGTAAACGATTTAATCGAAACCTAAAAGATCATGCCTCACTTCAAATGCACATATCTGAATGCGTGACAGAATCCATTTTAGTTGTTGAGGTCTCCAAAGCTGAAGAAATGTTTACTAATATTGTTTCTGCACTCACGGTAGACCAAGAGTAACAATTGATAAATATCGGTTATTGTAAAATGTTTGGAACTTTTTTTATATGCTTAACATATATCAGCGCAGAGAAATACTAAACTCTATGGCAATACACTCACAATTGACTGCTCTACAATAATGAGTCGACGAAGTCCTTCGATCTAGTTTTAATTGATGTTTAGATAAATAAAAGGGAAGTTTTTCGTGATGTTGCCATGATATTTCATTTTGGACAGTTAATTAACATGCTTGTTATTAACAAAAGTTCGCAAATAACAAAATTTTAAAATTGAAATATGAAGGATCATACGATAAAATACACAGAACTCACGATGCAAGTGGTGATTGATTTGTCCAACGGTAACTAGTCCATTTTTGCTGATTGTTATATCGCCACATGTTTTTTATTATACTTATTTAGTTTATTATCACACTGATTGGCAACTATCTCAGTTGATTACCAACTTAGAATGTTGGGGTACGTCTGAGTTTTCTCTCCACCCAAACGTACACTCATTCGAGTATTTGTATCGAAGTTTATGAACGACATATCACTGGTTAACATCTTCTGTTTTAAATAATGATAGAAAACATACGAATATGACGCCCTATTGGTACGAAACTACCATACAAGAGTTTTTCAGATCTTTTCATAAAACTATAATTATATTTTCAACAGAATAATATGCCAGTAAACGTCAATAAGTTTTTACTCCGGATGTTTATTTATGACGAATTACACGATCAAACAAAGTGCACAATGAAGAAATAATTTAAAATGAAAACAAAGCGGTATGAATAGATTTAAGAACACAATATAAAAGCATAAATTGTGTATTAAGTCAAAGACTTACTCTCTATAGAAGTTTTCATGCTTTTATTCAATGTAAACTGTTTGTTCATTGCAAACATTCCTGATCATGTGACCCATTTGGTTTCGACGGTTCTATTAACTATATTTTCAAGTATATATATATATATATTGTCTGCTTCCGATCGAATACAGTGTTTTTTTTTCTATCGACGATATTATTGTGCCAACGAAATATATATAATAGAGTCCTAATAGCCTGAAATGATGTTAAAATCAACGATTTATAGACAAATTTTCAAAAAATTCAACGTCAATAAAACGTGTATAAATGTTTCAATGAACTTTTCATTTAGAATTGCACAATATCGATAAGTAAGTAGTCTAGATTAAGTGCAAATTAGTATCTTCTTAGTAGCACATAATTTCTATCAATATATCTAAATAAAAAACTTGCCCTTTGAATTAAGGCTAACAAAATATAATATATCGATAATATATATTACAAAATTCAAAAAATCCGTTGAAATAAGTTGATATTCAAGTATAGGATGATAGTTTTTAAAATTAATAACGATGAAATGTTTGTAAAATGATTTCTTTTAATATGATAATAAATAAAAGACTAAAACCGCTAATAATAAATAGATCTGGTTTTCAAAATATTTATTTTGTCTTCATCTACACATTGAGCTTATGTAAACAAATTATCAAAGATCATTCTCAGTTTTGTTCATGAACATATTAATGGGTCGATTATCTTTGTTGTCAATAAATCAGAAATAATATCTCGGAAATATTGAATCTCTTATATATTAAAATATATTTAAACATTTCTCTGCATAGTTTAATTCTTAAAGAGTAATTAGTTAAGTAATGAAACAGCACGTTTACAAATACTGTTAACTACTGTGTGAAATAAACCGACTTTCATCTCATATCAATCAAACAGCAAGCAAAATATTTAAGAAACGAAAGGAAGAACAGGAGAAAAAAGTATACAGGACAGAAAGAAAGAAAGAAAGAAAAGCGTGGAAAGGCTACGACACAATAAGAATATTCACGAACATTCTACGATTTTCTGTTCTTCAATCATCAGACCTATATATACATACGTAAATGAATGGCGCTAGTTAGAGATATTTCACCGTTTAACTATGACTATCTGACATTCTTAATACTCTTTCGATAAGACAATGCCAATCTTTCCAATACATCGTTATCGTCTTTTCGATGATCCATTTGATCGATTTTTTGGTGATCAACTAGATTTTTTTGATCCATGGCATGATTTTGATATACTTTCATCAGCTTTGTCCATTAGACCAAATACGTTCCGATGGATAAATGAACCTCATCAATTAACACATTCATCAAATAGTAGATCAAATGATGGCAAGCGTTCCGAATCATCATCGCGAGTAGTAAATACCGAAAAATTTCGTGTTCAATTGAATGTAGCTGGATTTAATTCAGAAACAATCAAAACCAAAGTTGAAGATCGAAAAATTATTATCGAAGCCAAACAAGAAGATTATGAACCTGATGGTGATTATAGTATTCGAAAACTACGAAAAACATATGAATTACCTGAACATGCTGGTAAGTAAAAATAATTAGTTTAATATTGAACTGTTGTCTTTTTTTTATTTTTGTTGTTTCATTAAGATGCCAATCATTTAACTTCATATATCACTCCAAATCATATGCTTGTCATTGAAGTGCCTATTCGAAATCCAGAAAGAGAACGTCATCTTGCTCAAGCTAAAAAGGAAAACCAAAATTTGACTCAATTTGGTCAATATCGGGATTCATTATTTGATTATGTTGGTTTTTTGGAGGGTTCTGATTTTCGACCACGTATTGTTGATAAAGAAAATAATCAAAAACAACTTGAAATGACACTTGGAATGAAAAATTATCGACCACAAGAAATTAAAGTATCAGTTAAAAATAACGAATTGATTGTTAAAGGTGAACATCATCATAAGGATAAGAATCGTTCTGAACGAACCTTCTTCTTTAAATCAACAACATTACCACCTGGAACACAAATTGATCAATTACAAACACATTTAACTGATGATGGACAATTAAGAATTGAAGCACCTTATGTCGAACAGAAAGAAAGTGCAAAATCTATTGAAAGTCAGAAGAAATAATGTTATTTATATTAGAGATAGTCATAGTTTTGCTGTTTGTTGTATAGTTTTCATTTATCTCTTTTTTTTGTTTACTCGTTAGTATTTGAAAAAAAATAAACATGTAAATTATTTTGATAATGATTATAATTATCTTAAAATTAATGCTCACAGTTTTTTCTACACTGAACAGCTACGCTATTTTTAAGTATGAAAAGAAACTTTAGATGAAATTTATCATTATATCTTATTCCAGATATTTTTATTGACCTGAAAAGTTTTAATGACTGTATCGACTATAAGGCTAATCAATCGATGCTGTTCTATTCTTATTGAAGATGAATATCTTGTTCGTGTTGTTTTTATCCTTGTCAAGATTGATTACACTCATAAACTTCATAGAAAAGACAATGTGAACAAGAAAGAAATAATAATAATATTAAACAAAACATAATGAATGTTTATTCAAAGAAAAAAAATATGATGTGTCAACTGCTAAAACAAATAATATTCACAGTTGTTATACAATTTTATGAGATAGTCGGAATACACAGGTTTGAACAAAATAGAGACAAAAGAGATATATTCTTATTCAAATCATCAAAGATAACCTTAAATATAAGAACATACAATTTTTATGTCAACACAGTAAATTCCAAGAAATATTCATAAAAAATAAATTGTTATACCGTTCTGTCTACACGACGCTGAATCAGAAACTAAAACACTTACTAGCTGTTAGTTCGTACGAATCATTATTAATACAATATTTTCTTGCATCATTATCAGATATTTATTGATCTTATAAAAATATACTGTTTACTGAAGAAATAACATTTTCAGCTGTAATTATTTCATCTCAACGAAATCTACTTGAGCAAAAACACCAGTGAAATAAAAGATTGAATCAGAACGAAATTATAAATTTTACCGGGCGCTACCATCAGATTCAATAGTAGTATCTATGATACAAACTTCCACAATCAATTATTAATATCCAGCAAATGGCACACGGTTAAGAGCTTCTTCAATATTTAATGTAAATTTAATTTCTTTTCGAGTCATTTCTTGTGTACAACTGGTATCAACAATGTCATCAACAATTTTAATACCTTCACACTAGAACAATCAATACAAAAGCATACACAATATTATATGTTTCAAGCTAGAATATTTTGACAACATCTTTATTAACATATACATATACGTATATCGAGTATGTGTTATTCGTTAATTTTTCATTTTAAAAGTGCCCATTGAATTATGTTTCATACTATTATATATGGAAATTATGTCTTGCAAAAAAATTTTACAATTAAACACATTATGCACACTTGTTCGTTAGCATAAAAGCAAAATATAAGAACAGGTCGTCTATTAAAAATTGCACTCTTCGAATATTGAAAACTTCTCTCCTATTTTTTTTTATACTCTTAGGGTCGATCTCACATGAGGGTGTCGTTTCAAGTATTGCGTTGTTTTTGTAGTTTGGACTCTGTGCATAAGATTAATCCGAGTAAGATACGAAAGTCTGCAAAACTATGATTATTTTTCGGCTTCTTTTCTAACGTTGTAGTCACTTGACAGGATTTTCTGTTATATAACATGCGATGAAGTAACAAGTTGAATGAACAATCTGCTTCGTCTCAATTCTTTCTATGAACATGAAAAATATCGACTTATTGTTGTAATGGTTCATCTTCACTGAAGGATGTGAGTGTTGGTGTGAAGTATTGGTGTCAGTATAGTGTAGAGTTTTGGTGCTCACAATATAATGACATCCACACTCTAAATCGATCTATTTCATGCGATTTTGGCGTTCTTTATGAAGTTATTCGTTTTAAACTGTTTGTGTATGTTGATTTTGACTTTTGACTAATGATGTGTATAGATGTTCACGAAATGTCTTCAATTAGAATATCTTTATCATTGCATAGTGTTCACTTATTTTTTATTAAATTTATTCATTATATGGCTAACAGTATTGATGAATTATCACAGGCGTATAGTTAACATAGATGATAGCTGTATTTTTGTTCTCACATTAATGATCATGTCCCGGCGTCTATCTTTGTATTTCATGATGATGATATACTTCAGCTCATTAAAGCCAATGACAAAAAATCAATCGGATGAGTCTTTTCTTTGCACGATAAAAAGATTTTATTTGGTATCTAGCTGTTATTACAGAATAAACCACATCGTATGTAAAGATCCGAGACCTTAAAATGATGGGCTATACCAGAATAATTGTCATTTTTCTTCCGATCCCAACGGATACTGACATCATCACTCATAATTTCTTTACTTGCAAAGTTTCAGATACAAGACCTCAAAGTGTAGTTCAATATTCGATGATTTCAGAATGAATAGATGATGTTCATTTTTACTCAAAGCAAGTTTCTTGACAATCTAAGCCAGTTGGTAGTTAGAATAGAATCATGCATTTGATATAATCAAGCATCAGCAAAATGTAACTTTTCCTACAACGATCCAAATATGTGATATACCCTTCTGGCACAATAAAACATTTCGTCGTTGAATATTCTGTGTCATTTTATTTGCATTAACTTCCTTTTTTTTGAAATTGTAAATGATAGGTCTCTTTGTGTTTTTACGACCTCATTTATCAGGTATGTGATTTTTTACACCTTCGTAGTGTTTGATGATGTTTATTGCTTTGATATAAATGAAGTATTCATAAGTAAAACACACTCAAAGACTTTTGAAGAAATAGTTACATAATGGACTAGCATCATGGTCATGAGTCAGATTAGAATTTTACTAAGATAGAGAGAAAACGTGTTTTTTATTTGGCTACTAGAGATAAATGTGAATTGTTAAGATTAGTTTCCAAATATTTTGTTTCAGGATCCTTGTAGTCAGAAATCGAACTACAATGTGTTTCTTACATACATATGGCTCAGAAAAATTTACAACGGTTTTTGTTTTTGGAAATGCTAAAACATAGCAGTTCATTCAATAGTGTTCTTGCTCAAAATTAGATATGGCACTGCTTATCGATGATATCTAATGTTTGAAAAATCTGTAAACAAAGTTTCTAGAATTTTGTTTGCGAACCACGTTTATCATTTGAGATTTTTCTGACAAAATACAGAATCAAATTATTGAATAGATCCATTGAAACTATTATCTTAAAACAGCATTTCTAAATACAAACACAAAAAATATTTTTACGAAAAACATTATTTTTTCTATTTATTATGGAGATTTTATATTTAAAAGTATGGCAAAAGTCTAATGTTTTAATTAATTTCGCATTTCAGATTCCATATATAGTTTGACATATACACTAAAATCTTAATGATAGGTAGCACACCAGTATTGTTATAGATATTTCTTCGTTGCAATTATGTGCAACAATACTGTGAATATCTTTCTTGCTTGAATAAAATGGAAATACTTCAGTCAAACGCTTAAATGATCCATTATCCCTACTGAATAGAGTTTACTTTAAAACCTAATCAACTACGTAAACTCTTTCAAATTCATTGAAAGAGATGTAATTAAGGGAGATTATTCTCTTTAAAATAGGGTAAGGAGTCGTATATACCATCAAATCTTCTGTAGTCACGGATGTTATTTTTTTTATCCGTAATACGTCATATGAAGATCGAAATGAACTTCATTGAACTTTTTCTTTCATCATTTTTTCTTTGTATTGATAGATGATATATACAAGATGGGTGTTTTCAACATCGATCCGATTCTCCTGGGTCTGAGCATATTCGAAGTAGTTTATTTGAGTCTCATTGTCATCACTGCGCTCTGATATCCTCTACTCATTGGTTTCAATCATCTTTTTCATTCAACTACAAATGCCATTACTGTTAATTATACTATTGCTGCACTTTTCTATGTCACCTTCTATCTGTCCTTCTATGGACTTACATTTCGTGATGATTATTTCAGTACACTTAGCCTCAAAACACGTGTTCCAATAAACTATTTATCGCCTGTCGTCAATAGCTATCTCATCTATTCGTTGGATGGAGTTTCGTCAATCGTCTTTGTGTAATTCTATTTCATACTAAAAGAATATTCAAAAAGGTCTTATGAGTTGTGATTTGTACATGTATTCAATTGATTTTAGCAGTGGTAGTACCTTTACCAAATTTGTTGATTGATTCAATGGTAATTTTACAGAAATCTAACGGAAAATCGTTTTTCATAATCACAATATTTGTAGAGGAATGCGTTCAAAACCGTTATCCATTGTTGGACACATTTTTACACATTTCTTACTCTAATCATTCTACCATCAATTCTTTTCGGTACTGAGAATCTTGTTATTTTCAATTTTGTTCGAAAATCGACACGTCGCATTCAAGCGGAACACCCCATGAATACGCCGCTTTCTAAACTATCTGCTGTCAGTAGACGTGATGCCAAGTACTCAAGAATATGTTACTTATGTTTCTGTTTTTTGTTCTTGATTGGATTCCAAACTATATTTTCTGGCTGCTTAATGTTCCAAGCAATCTTTTTACACTTCGATTAGGTTATGCATTAACTATTTTACCTGTTGCTACCTGATTGGTAAATATGATCATAGTGTTTTATTACAATCAAGAAGTGCGTAATTAACGAAGACGACCAGTGAGACATACTCAAATGGCTATGAATACCAATAATACTAATTAATTGCAAAGTACAAGACTCTAGATTTGAATAAAAAAACAAACTTGAATAATACAATCAGTAGTTAAAATTTGAAAAAAGCTTGTTTTTGTATATATCCCATCGACAGATCAATTGCAAATGTGAATATTTAGTCTCTGTCGTTTCTTTCCTTGAAATAAAACAAGCCAATATGAATGGAAGCCAAGTTGTTTTATGTCTATTGCAGACTAAGTCTAGCCCAGTGATTGATTGAAGTTGCTAAAAGACGTTAAGATGAAGAAGAAAGCTTGCTGGCTTTTTGACTAGAGATCATTTGATTTCCTAACTTACAAAGAAACTTGATTTTTTCCCTAGAGAACATGATCATCTTGTTCTGTTCAGTAAAGAACGAACATATTTTTTAGAAGGTTCCATTTATCAAAAAAACTGCTTAGAAGCGAACTAAAGATTGGTTACATGTACAATCATTTTTCTGGCTTCGTTGTTGCTGATGATGATGACCATCATCTTGTAGCTTTTGAGTGCGGATCTTTTCTTCATTCTCATCTATATACCGACATCCTCTGTCAACGTATATTGTAGCAGTACATTGTTGAATAGAACATCACGAATGTTATTGTCGCCATTAGCACATAAAAAGTTTTATTTTTTGGTCTACCAACAATCATTTCATATTATAAAATTAATTAGATAAATATAGCTAACAAAACTATATAAAAAAAACGTTTCAAAAAAAGGAGTTTTATTTAGAAAAAATACTGATGCATCGTACATTACAATTCGTGCATCTGATTATAACGATTCACTTGGTCAGCATGATGCATTAGTGGTAAAAGATGTAACGAAGATAGAAAATGTTCCATATGTCCATGGAGTCGATAAAAACGATTTTAAAGGATTAAATTCAAATTTGCTATAAATTTATTTACTTTTCGGCTTGGTTGTTCATTTCTAGGATGAATAGAATTATTACAGAAAGCGAAAAATTGACTAAGAATAATTGTCGCCTACAATTGAAATTAATCATAGTAGAACGATGGTAATGTTTGGTTGACTTCGAACCTGCGCTCTTGTATGAGACATATATTTTGTGATAGAACTAGAAGCCTCATTCAATCTGAACAACAAAAGAGCTATTTAAATTTATAGTTTTTATTTTAATAAACGTTTACTTATTTCAGATAACAGACTTTTATGATCATGAATAAACGTCTTCTTTTTATATCTTTCAATTGAACTCGAAAGATCAAGTCTTTCAAACAATTATTTGAAATCTTGACCTTTTTCTTTTTCTATGATTCTATACGGTTCAGTATTCGATTCACAAACGGCATTTGGAGATCGACTCAGGTAAAAAGTGACTGAGACACGGATGAGAGGAAAAATGCACCTTCAACGACTTCAAGCTAAAAATGGAGTAAGGAAGTGAAATAAAACCTTTCTCTTTTGGTTGGGTGTGAATGCGGATAAGTTAGTTCTCTTCAAACACATTCACTCACACTAACACTTCATTGTTGGGAATGATATTAAAGGTTAATGTAATGATATCTGTAGAGAGAATAGTAATATAGCCGATGACAGTACTCATATTAATTGTGTACGACGTGACTCAACGATTAAGACCAGTGGTAAAACTCACGAAATCTACTGATTCGGCAGTTACAACAACTTGTCTGCTAGCGTAGCAGTAAGCAGATATGACATACTGGAGAGCTTCCGCATAAGTAACTTGAAGTGCCCTTTTCTTGCTAGAAAACGATTTTTATTGCTCAGAAATCACTATATGTCACTCAAGAAATCATATTTGTAAATTGAATACTTTTTAAAAAGCAAATATTGTGACAAAAATACTCAGTGAAATGTGGTTCATGGATTTTTTTTTTGAGGTCTTTTTTTTATTAAAAAAAAGCATGAACGCTCTATATCGTTTTACAGGATTATATCTAATGATTTCAAATATCATTTTCATCTCTCTTCAAAGAGTAACATGGATGCCTAAAACTTAGTTTTTACTTGAAAACCATGGTTCCGAAAAAACTTGTAGAATCATCTAGAAAACATTTTACCAATTGATGCAGCTATCATTATTTAAAAACACATGTGGGAGTATCTAGTAAAAATTTGCTATCGATCGGATATTATGTCTCTATGACGTTTACAATATACAGAATGACAGGTTTTGTGATAGGCTCTCGGCCTAGAGACCTCTTTTCTACTTTTTTTACTTGCATTTGGATCATTCTTATTTAGCATACAATCTGCAAATGAATAGATTGTTGGAATATTGTTTACAGGTCGAATATTTGTATTATATTGCCGAATGGCTTCGCTTTTTTGCTTATATGAATAATTCCATATCAAGTATCAGTTGAGAAACAAACAATCATGTACATACCAAACTAGATTGTTGACTGCATAGAATTAAGGACAACTATTATAAGCAACAGAACGGAACGCTATAGGTTTGTGGATCTATTTTTGATGGTTTCTTCGTTTCGTTTCTAACAGCTAGTGACATCTATACAGGATTTTTCGTAAATAATTATGACATTTTATAAAAAACAGAAGATTCATACAAAGAAATACCTAATCATTTTTATTATTGTAGAAGAGACGACATAAATAAAATTTCATTCAGAAATCTTCTATCAAGCACCGTTTAAATTGATTTCTGCATTTTCGATTGCGATCGCACTGTGACAAGTCATTTCACACAATTTCTCTTTTTTAGGCGGACACCCTTAAACAGCGCCCATATCTTATAAATGATCTTCACTTTTGATTGGCTTTCGATGAAAACTCAGCGAATAATTCTTATGATTTATATCTTTTACTGACAAATACGTTTTTACCAACACTATTTTTTCGAAATTTCCTTTATTTTCTACTGGCGTTTATTCATATTGACTCATTTTCATGTTATATATATGTCCACACCTGTACAGGATAGTTGTTTTTGATTTTATCTTTCACGTTTTCCAACATAATAAATACATTTCATAACATAAACATATTTAATACATGGCAACGGCAACACCGAGTGATCGAGCAAAATGTTTTTCATGTGACAAAGAAAAAATCATATATCCATGTGAAGGATGCTCAAAGAAGTTTTGTTTGAAAGATTTAACAGAACATCGTCAAAACCTTAACAAACAATTTGAAGGAATCGAAAATGAGCGTAACCAGTTTTACCAAAAGCTTACTGAACGAAAAAAAGGTCTTAAAAAACTCCCATCATTACAGGATGTTGATGAATGGAAGGAAGAGTTAATTGCGAAAATCCAACAAACAGCAGAAGAATATAAACAAACATTGGTTGAACATAATAAGCATTTTATTCAAATAGAAGAACAGTTATCTCGATTAACTGCACAATTAAAACAAGCTCGTCAAGAAAACGAATTTAACGAAATTGATTTAGATCAATTCAAAATAAAACTAACAAAACTAACAGAAGAACTTAGTCAGCCATCAAATATTAAGATTCAACAAGATTATGCATCATTCACAAAGAAAATTTCAGTTGTCATATCATCCGCAATTAGTCCACAAGAACAATTAAATGAAATTAGCTTAAATCAAATTCAACCAAAGATACCAAAAGAACTAAATCAGTCTCCAAATATGGCAATGCCAAAAAATTCTACATCATTTATAAATAAGAATTTAAGCAGTGTATCATCTAGTAAGCTTAATAAAGATATCCGAATTGATGAAAGAATGTATTTATAGAAGAGCATGAAATATTTTCATAGCCTTTAACTAAACCTCCGTGCGAAAAACTAATGAGCTTTTATATATTAGCAGTAAAAGATTATACTACTCGTTATATTTTATCATATAGAAAACCCAACAATATCGTGATACTTTTATCAGAGTTATTCTGTGTAAGATTTTTAAGAAATAGATTTTGTTAAATTTATATTAATAATCTGTACATGTCATAATGAAAATAATATCGATTAGATGAGACGTGTCTAAATTCTCTAGAATCAGAAAATTTGCAGATTTCGGAATTTGCAGAAATATAAAAATATTGCACGATACAAACCATAAGTGTAAAGTATCAAAGGCACTCCCAGAGCTGAACAAATCCAAGGAATCCAAAGAATTGTCCGAACTCCAGGAGGTTTGGATTCTAAAGAAGCCGAAGAACACTTATATTTCAAAGTACCACACGAACACAGTGAGTTGAATGCACTTATAGTTACCAACCTTAGGTGCTACTAATTTTGTGTCAGCAAAAAATGGAATCGGTCGAAATACTAATGCATGTTGATATCGATCATCATGTAACCGTACAAATACCCACCATCTGCATTAGTTGATGTCGAGTGAAACATGTTTTGAGTATTCAATGCTGGAAAATGATAGGCCTAGAAACAAAAATTAACATGTATTGTCCATTTCAGAGATAAATGGCCGTGATCATTTTTTGAAAAACTTTTGATAGGCCAAAGCTATCGAGCTCAGGGTTGCGTAGAAGGAAAGAGCGGACTCCAATTCATCTTTCTTTATAACTCTTTTGTGCTCACAGACACTTTTTTACGACTGTTAATGCGCAGGTATTTTGTTTTTGTCTTATTGCAACGAGTTTCTTTGATATTTCAATTGCCGTTATATCAAATTGTAGCTGGGATTCCGCTATATAAACGGTAAAATTACCATACATCAAACTGGCATTGTTGAATAAAAGAGATCAAAAAGGTGATATGAAGATGTCAAATTTTACCATATATACAGTGGAATTCTGGTTACAATTTGGTATAACGGGAATTAGAATGTCAAAAAAACTCGTTGGAAAAAGACAAAAACAATATACCCGCATATTAACAGTCGTAAAAAAGTGTCTGTGGGCTCAAAAGAGTTATAAAAAAAGATGCATTGAAGTCCGCTCTTTCCTACTACGCAACCACGCGCTCGATAGTCTTGGCGCATCAAAAGTTATTCAAAAAATGGCTATGGTCATTTAACTCTGAAATGGACAATAGTTGTCTGTCTGTTTGACTATAACATGGTATAAATATAAATAACCTAACAATAAGAATCAAGTCTTGAGATCAGTTCTCTTTTTCATAGCCCGATTGAATCACAATGAAACTAAACGAGAATGTGAGTAAGAGTGTTCTTTTCGTTGACAAATTCACATCAGCACCCATACCCCGCAAACAAGGATTAAGCAGGATTCAAGACAGGATTCTCATGGATTCTACTAGGGTTTCTTAAGGAATGAACAAGATTGAGGCTGGAGAAGCGACATATATGTAAGAATTGTTACGAAGTCTTTTTTATAGGAACCTATGAAAAGTTTCTCAATCTTTGTCGACAGAAAGAACTTTTCTAGTTTAGAGTATGTTAAAGAAGAGTATTCTTGAAAGTTATAAAAAGTTTCCGACGAAAAAGAGTGTCTCATTTATAGGACTTTTTCATGATAGAGGAATCTCTTTGACAACAATGACAATGCGTTTTCTTTTTGTTCATTGTAATGATTCTCAATATTCCAGTTAATATCCGATGGAAACAGAACGCAATAACGGTTGCTGGAGGCCATGGACAAGGCAAAGGCAACAATCAACTCGACCATCCGGGGAGTCTCTTCGTTGATGATAATCAAACGATGATCATCGTTGACTGGTGGAATGATCGTATCGTTCAATGGAAGGTGGGTGATACAAATGGACAAGTGGTAGCTGGTGGTCATGGTCGCGGAAATCGGCCAGATCAATTGAATTGTCCAACCGATGTACTGATCGACAACGAGACTGATAGCTTCATTATTTGTGATCGATGGAATAGACGAGTCTTACATTGGCCTCGTAATAGTGATACCACTCAAGGAGAAGTTCTTCTCGATAACATCGGTTGCTGGGGATTAGCCATGGATGATCAGAAATGTCTCTACATCTCTGACACTGACAAAAATGAAGTAAGAAAATATCAAATGGGAGACAAAAATGGGACCATTGTGGCTGGTGGCCATGGCAAAGGTAATGATCTCAATCAACTTAACTTTCCGACCTACATCTGTGTTGATCAACAACACAGAGTCTACGTGTCAGATAATGAAAATTATCGTGTGATGAAATGGGACAACGGTGCAACAGAAGGAACTGTCGTCGCTGGAAATCAAGGCAAAGGGAAGGCACTAACACAATTATCGCATCCTCGAGGACTGTTCGTCGATACATTGGGTACTATCTACGTGGTAGACTCGTCGAATGATCGAGTAATGCGTTGGCCTCAAGGAGCAAAACAGGGCACTATCATTGTGGGTGGGAATGGTGAAGGACAAGGAGCTAATCAGTTTAGTAGGCCTGACGGTTTATTTTTAGATCGATGTGGCCATCTGTATGTCGTCGATTGGGGAAATGATCGAGTTCAACGCTTTTCTATGGAATAAACTGATTAAAATGGCTTATTTTGTTTTTTTCCTGTTAAATAAAGTATGGTGAATAAAAAAGAAACGACTTCGAAGAAGAATGAATTGTATTCACATTAGATGCGTACACACGCGTACACGACCACCAATGAAGAGGGAAGAATCCCCTGTCTTTCGGCTATCTTACGATATCAGGTGCTGCCTAGCAGCAAAGTCAATAGTCCGACATTTTTCTTACAAATAATACAAGCTGTAGCTCTAGATAGAAGATTGGGTTGATGCAAAATTCTTACGTTCAATTGCTTAAGCTTCCCATACACACTAACTAATTGCACACTAGCCACGAGCGCAGGTGTATGCCATAACATAGTGACCATACTATCAGATGGATAATCCTTTCAAATGAATGACGCTCAAAACCATTTTTTATTCAAGATAAAACGAGATTGTAAGAATGATGAAGTAAAAAAAACACTTGATAAACTTTTTTCGTCACAGATTCAGATCTGCAGTTAAACAAAGTTGAACACCTGGAGTCGAATCTTGAACACATTTAATAGTTCAAGAGTTTTTCTCCAAAAACTGTTTGACATTTTTCTTATGAAACAAAAGATAAATCAAATGATTTCGGAGGAAAATTACTCCCAAACTTATATTGGTAATCTCTCATCATTCCAACAGTTTACCAAGTTCTACATAAGAGAATCACGAAAAAAATAAAAGATACGAAAGCTTATTCAATAGCGCTTCTGGTTAAAATCAAAAGATGAAGAATATTTTACTCCAATAATCAATATTCTTCAAATCAGTTTGATTTTAGCCAGCTGTAGAAAAAAATTCTATTATATTGCAATCTAGTCTGCCACTTGAGAGTTCCTTTTAGCGGCATAAAATTGAGATTCTGTGAATGAATTTCACTTTTTTTTTCTTTATACATCTCTTAAAAGAACCTTTGTCAAAAGGTTTTCGATAAATATAAATGAAGCGTATTACACAAAGAATAACTAATTGATCTGTTCGATAAACATAAAAAATGTCATCATTGGATTTGTTCATAATTCTAAATCAATTGAATCTATATGAATATCTCATTTTAGTCATGTTGAGACAAGTTGAAAATACATTTATTGTAAATGTTTTTTGGTCGATATGGCCAAAATATGTGTTTCATTTATCAAGTACAGTGATAATTAATGATCTTGATGTGACAGGTCATGATCTTGTTCAAATATTTTCATTTTATTAGGATGATCAAACAATATGTTGATTTGCTTTATGAAAAATACGTGTTTATTTATTACATCTCCTTGGACAAATACCTAGAGCAATACTTATATTATCATGTACTTAATCAGTTTATATTTATGCATAATCATACCAGTTTGTGAGCTTTGAAGCCAATCAACACGAAGTCAATGGTCTATCACTGTTGTAATTTGTTTTGGACTTTTATTAGTTAGTTATATTGCAATCATGACAACATTTCAAGATGAGCGTTTTTTGTTACATGAGGTATTGATTCAACTATTCATACCAGTTATATTTTGATCTTTGTCAATTTTCGTACACCTATTCTATTAGTTGTATTTGCTGTTGTAACTTATCGCAATATAAGATCATTATCTATTCGTGTTCAATCAATAAATAATAACACAAATCATGGAAAAATTTGTATTCAAACAACAAGATCGAAAATCATTATTAATTGCACTTTCTGAAGTATTTATTTATGTTTTAACAATAACTTTTTATCCATGAATTCTTTTAGAAAATGATAGCCAGTGGAAATACAGTTCTAAATAAATCTATACAATATTCAAATTTGATAAGTGTTATTTTTACAATTACATTTACACTATACTATGTTTATATTATAATACAAGAATTATTTATGGAAGATTTTCAGCAATTTTTTATATTGATTCTTATCGAAAAATTAAAGGACAATCAACTATTGTAACAGTTTATCAAATAAGGCTAATAATAATAATAATAAGAAGCATTCGTTTTTTATTTATTTATTTTATCTTTTGTTTTTCTGTCTTTTGTCCAATAAATAAACTGATACAAATAGAAAGTGTCCTTTACATATTCGTCTCCTTCGATAAAAAACTTTCAATTAAAAACAAAATCCGTGTATTATATAAAAACAAATCAAACCTGTTTTTAATAAACATTTAACAATTTTTGATAACTATTTAAATTCTGAATCATTATATTATATAATTATTTATATTAATAATTTATATTTTCTATAGAATGTTATCATTGTGTTTAACTCTTCTTTTATAGCAACGAATTCCGTTGATATTGGTCTTTTCAAATTTTTTTTTTTGAGTCATATTCTACTAGATAAAAGTAGTCTATGTTCATAATCTTTAAGAATGATGGAAAAATTATTTTTTTCAAATGAAATGGAAAAAATAGCAAGAGATCAAAATCTGACATAAGCCATCTACTATTGATTCATTAATAATACAACAGAATAGGAAATATATGTACTTTAACTTTCTTCGAGAAGAATTTAATTTATTTGATCAATATAAAAGTATTCAAATAGTTTTAGAAACTCTAAATAATAAATCTTAACTATACTAAATGAGATCTAAAAACTTGGATCTTTGCGTATATGATGATGAGTAATGAGTTTTTTTGCAACGAAACTACACTATTGAGTCTTTAAATGAATTGACACAAAAGCAGATACCTTTATGATCGGATGCAGACATTTCAATAAGTTTTATGAGCCAATATAGATTAACCGATGGATATGACTCGAAAACGATCGAATTTGCTGCTAAGTTCTCACAAGTTATATTTTTTACGAGTTTAAGATCACATTGAATTTTCTTTTTTTGGCATACAATAACACGATTATCGCAAGTTTTTTAATTTAATCTTCTCTTCTCGTATTTTATTTATTTCCAGGAAAAATTGTAGTAAACTATTTTATTGAAACAAACAAAAGAAAATTTACGAGGTTGAGTTTTGATCAATAGAAAATCGCTGAACTCGATGATTCCAGCAATCGACAACATACAAATTGCCATGTCGATCAAATGCTATACCTTTTGGTTCATTAAGTTGATTCGGTTGTGAACCTGGACCATTTCCACCAATAATAACAGTTCCTTGATTAGCATTCTTACGCCAACGCATAATTCGATGATTTCCACGATCTGCTATATATAAATTCGACGATGGATCAACAATAATTCCACAAGGATATGATAATTGTGATAAACTATTTCCTTGACCTTGATCTCCAGCTACAATAATTCCTTCTTGTGCATTTTTTGTCCATTTAACCACACGATGATTATCTCTATCCGAAACATAAATAGACTGATCATGATCGACAAATAGAAAAGTTGGAGAATTCAATTGATCAAGACGATCACCTTTTCCGTTTCCTCCAGCTACAATTGTTCCTTGAGTGTCACCAACTTTCCAACGTTTAACAACACATTGATGAATATCGGAAACATAAATAAATCCATGTTGATCCATTGTTAAACAAGCACAATCGATATTTGGAATAATTGTTTGTCCACTTGTTCCACCACGATAAGGCCATTTAACTACTCGTCGATTACGTTTATCACAAATAATAAAAAAATCTCGTTCTTTATCAACAATAAGATCGATTGGACCATCTAATTGATCAGTTCGATTTCCTTGACCATTTTCACCAGCAATAACAAGACCACTTGTTGCATCAAATTTCCATTCGACAATACGATTATTATTAAAATCAGCTATATAAACAGTTAAATCATCATCAACATAAAAACCATTTGGACAACTTAATTGATTAAATCCATTGCCTTTTCGACATCCACCAGCGACTGTTAAACCATTTTGTGTCCATTTTGTATTGATATTAATCATAACAGAAGGGCTTTGTACTAAAAACAATCAAAATATTCGAATGTTTGTTTAAAACAGATACAGAAAAAAAAGAAATTTCAATTGTTGATTAAAGATTAATGATTTCAAAAAAGAAACTTGATTTTGTAACAGAAAATATATTTCTAAAGACGACACTCACTCAATTATTAGCGAAGAGATGCTATACAATGCATTCTTTTTTGCATATTTTGACAGAATTGCAAAGTAAATAAAACATGTTGAAATTGTTCTCAGTGTCTTCATAATTTGTAAAAATAAAAAACCTTCCCTATTCTTTCAATGTTGGTATCATCTAACTTTGCGACATATGATATTTCAAACGCCGATATGAATTAAATGGTATACTTCACTAATCTTTTTCATTTCTATTGAGTTTTTAATAGAAAATCTGCTCAGTCAAAAAAAGGAAGAACGATGAATCTTTTTTGAATATAGCTGAAGCACTTCGAAGTTGAATTGGTATCCGACATATTGTGAGAATATGGAATTAGGTGAGCATTGTTTTTTTTATTTTTCTAGGAAATATTCAATAGAATTGAAATAATCTATAAAATAGATTTTATTAGAGAGCAACATGATCAAAATAAACTGTGAGCGGTTTTTTTCGAATTCTTTCACTCACAGTTTGATTTTCTATTTTTCTTTTCTCATAGTTCGAACATTATTGTCGAATGAAGATGTACAAGATTACTCAATTTTGCAGATGAGGATAGAGTCAAAGCTAGAACGTTTTTCTCAGGCAGAGTACAAGGTAGAAGAATACTTCCTGTACACATTTCTTTTGGAAAAGAAAACGATTATACCCATATACAGAAGTCTTCATCACCTTCTTCCGTTTTTTTGTTTTCAAAAAAAAATTAATATTTGTCTTTTCTTTATTATCTAACTAATGTACCACATAAATACAACTCTAGACAATAATATTTCTTGTTTCTGATGTTCTTATTTATTGACTCGGATGGCTCAATTTTATGTAAGATTTTTTAATGTATAAGAATAACTTTTTTTCATCATCCTTTTGTTAGATTTTTGGTATGTGATTTTTTCTATCACAACGCTATGACACCATATTTTAAATAAAGTCAAAACTCGTACTGCATCGACTTGCCAGACGATTGTTAATATTATCAAATGTAAGCTGAGTGTTACATCAAAGAACATTTCAAAAATTCTAAGAAAAGGATGGCTTGGATATAGATCCAAGTATTTTTAGATATCAATTACGTGCAAGTGATGGAATTTATGTTCCATGTTTAAAAGAGCCCTTACTAATAGATAAGCATCGTCAGCAACGGCTTATCTAGACTCAACAGCATCAAAATTTCAACTAAAACAATGTGTATGTTTACCAATGAGAAGACGTTCAAATTTTACAACAGTCGAAGAAAAGTTTGGTGACTTCTATGTTTCACCAAGATTGTTCGTATAGTTAAATACCCTTTCAAGTTTCACGTCTGGAGATGTGTTTGAAAACGAGATGTTCGGACAATTAATAATTTTCAAACACAATTTAATAAATTTCATGTCCTGTATATATGACAAAAGTGTTCTGCTTACTGCTCAGCGTCAATTTTCTACAAATTCAATTAGTTGAATCCTTTCAAAAACTAATGATCTTAAACATAGATCCCAACTGGATGATCGACCATCGCATTTAATTTTTGTCTTGTCCCTTTTTATCATTAGATCTAAACTTAATTGAAAACATTTTGGTTGATCATAAAAATACTTTGTTTATATTTTAGTTCGATAATAAAAAAAAAAGTAAATATTAAAATTTTAAAAACAAAAGAATGGAAGTCTTTTGCTCCGAAGTATAATTTAATTGATAAATACAATAACTCACATGTTAAATGTTGTTTTTGAGGATAAATAAGATTATTCCAATTGATTTTATTATTTTCTATGAGAATAATATTTGATTTATCTTGTCCACTAAGTTGTCGAAGTGATTGTTGCATTTTATTTAATTTATTTTTTAATAATTGTATATCATTTTCAACAAAATTATTTTCTTCTCGTTGAAAACGTATTTGTCTAGTTAAATTTCCAAACTGTTCTTTGAAAATTTCTCTTTCATGATTGAGCATTTTATTGAGTTTTTGTCGAGCTGTTTCAGCTGCTTTATGTATTTTATCAATTGTTGTTGATTCCCATCGATTTATTTGAGAAAAAAGTTCATTTGAAGATTCATTTAATTGTTTTATTCGAGAAAGAAGTTCATCATGAAATCGAATAATATCATGATCAAAACGATTTGATAAATATTGACGATGTTCATTGAAATCTTTTAAACAAAATATATTTTTACAACCTCCACAAATACACATTGATCCACTTTTTTGACAAATCGAACACCGATTTAATGTTGATTCCATAGTTATTTCTATTAAAATTGAAACATCAGAAATCGAATTCAATCAAATAAAAATTGAATTATTTTTACTTTTTAAACTGAATAATGATCAATGAAAAATATTGTTACGATAGTTTGTTTCTATGTACATTAATTTATGTTGTTTTATATTTACAAATGGTTGTCGAACAAAATTTGATAATGATGTATTCTCTTCTATTTTTGTTTTTCTTTAAACAATTTTATTGAAATGAATTTGTTTTAAACATACAGAACCGAAAAATTTTTCTTGATGGGATTAATTCTTATTATATTAACTGTTTCAAATTACAAGTTTTCTTTCTCATTGTTTTTTTGAATCAATCCACAAACTGTATCAACTTCTATTCGGGACATCAATCAATTCTTATTTTTGAAATAAAATCATTTTTATTTATTTGATTATAAGACCAAATATTTTTGATTTAAATTTTTTTGTTGTTCTCTTTGCACGTTAATCGAACTTTGATAAAGATTTTCACATTGTTCAGTTCTAAATTAGAGAAATGTTCTAAAAGTGAAACAAAGAAAGTTTTTGACCATTAGTTCAATTTTTGTATTAAAAAATAATGTCGAAAAGAGATGTTGTTATTCATTCAATCGTTCAAAGTCTATACGAAATTGAATCGAAAAATGAGTTTGTTCAAGAATTCTACTGCACAGTCTTGTAATTTTCGTTTAGTTAATACTAACAAATTAAATTGCGATTATTTCAACAATTAGAAAGAAAAGATTTTGAAAGATTTGTCAACTTTTAGAATAATATTCAAATCTCTAATCAATTAGTTTGTGTATTTCAATCAAAATTAAGATGATTTCTAAAATAAGTTTTAAATGTTAATCATAGCAATTGATCTTTTTTAATCGGATCAAAAATAAAAAAAAATTATTCAGAAACTTTGTGCTGGTTTTATCAATTGTTTCAAAATGTGAATTCTACTTATAGGATACGTTGTTTCAATTAAATGAATACGGAAATGACAAAACATTTCTATTTCACAGTAATAATCGAAATCTTTAAAGTTAGATTGAAGTTAAATTTTTTGTAAAATTTTATATAAATCTATTCAAGTTAGACTATGTATGACTGACAAAAAAGTGCTCATTTTTGCTTTTTTCTTTTTTACACTTGTATCTGAAGAAAAAAAAAAGTTTTCTCCTTGACCTTGAAGGACAATCATGCATTTGAATAGGATTATTTTAGGCTTTTCTTTGTATTTCTTTTGTCTCAACGACAAAACCTGAATCATTCATCTGTCGAATCACTTTCGTTATCAATGCGTCGGTGAATCGTATCTTTTCTTTTTTCTAATTTTGTTTCGTTCACAATGCAACAAAAGAAAATGTGTAACATTGCGAGATAAAAATTTCTCATAGAACGACAAATTAACCTATTTTACGTCGTAATTTCTTTCTTTCAACAAGCGAATCTTCTTCGTTGAAACTTTTAGATTCTCTTCTATTTACATTTAGAATATGTCATCAACAAAACATATTCGACGTATTATCAAAACAACAACAGGTGGACGTTCCAATGCACCTTATAGGTAAATAAAAAAAATCAATATCTTTAAATTGATAGTTCAAACACATAACTATTCAATTTAGTCAAGCGGTTCAAATTGATCAAATGCTTTATCTTAGTGGAGCTGTTGGACTTGATACCGAGACAGGAAAATTTGCTGGTGATACTATTGAAGAGCAAACTCGACAGGTAGAACTAATTCTTAAAATCAAACAATGGATAGATAATCACTTAAGTACTTGATTTACTTTTTTTCTATGTCTAATAGGCTTAGGCTTTTTTTTGAGACCAATGAAATAATCTTTTCAGAGGCTCAAAAAATAGTTTGAATGAAAAATTTTTCCGTACACTTGTACACTTCCATTATCGCAATTTGAAAGTAAATGTTGACATCTTCATTAATATATTCAAATTATAGAGCAGAAGCTATCTCAAAAAAAAATGTACTATTGGAGTTTTTATACAGATCAGTTCAATTTTCATTTCTTGTAAATTCTTATTTTTAACAAATCGATATTTAGGTAAAGGATCACAAGTTACTTCAATATAAAATTTTGTAAAGAATTGTGCGCTCAATAAAACAATCGACTGGAATATTTTTTTGACAACTTCGAAAATGAACTTATAAGAGTTAACAAAATTGTATTAACTCACTATTCAATCTAGTTTTTTTTTGAGTCTTTAACAGATTTCTTCGCCAGGTCTCGAATGAAAAGTGAGATGAAATTTCTAAGTCCTTATTCAAAAAGTGTACAATATGCTGATCTTAATTCATAAGTTTTAACTCCTCGACAACAGTTTCAAGGAAGTCAAAAATAAACAATTATTTTGTTTCGAAACCTTCGGTTCATCATTTATTCTCTTAATCTAACTATGTCGCTTAGGTAGAATAAAAATCCTAAGATTTGAATGGAGCGAATTGAAATTAACTACTTATCTAAAGAGAAGCCGTATTGGAGTAATGATTATTATTCATTAGTATCAGATAATTATAGAATAATATAATTTTTTCGCGTTTTTTCAACGTGTATTGTTCCCGTTTGAAAATGTCAACTAGAAATAGGACTGAAAATCGAAAAAGTTTCATGTATATGATATATTAGAAATTTAGGTCACGAATCACATTCACGTTAAGTATTTCAATATAAAAATAAAATATTTTTTCTCTCAAAGTCTCGATAATACTTTTTTCAGTTGCATTATGCTGCCTATAATCATATCGATAAACTAAAACTCTTTCACAAACTTATCTTTGCGATTCTATAATGATGAAAGTTAGGTTAGACAAGTGTATAAAAAACTAAAAATTTGTCTACTTAAAGAAAAAACGTTACAAAAGTATTAAAGAAATTTTTCGTAATTAAATAAGTTGATTTCTTAACATCTATAAATGGATTTCGGATTGTATCTGTAATCAGCATATTTTGCAGATATAAAAGATATTTTGAATACTTTTTTTTCATTGAAAAACATCCACACCCTTCAATCACGATATAAAGGTTGCAAGTAAGAAAGACCAATCAGAAAAAAATTCTGTCACCTAGCTGTGTTGTTTCAACTGCAGAATCGCAGCGAAATATCAAGGATAAGAAGAAGTCAAGGACATATCCTTTGTTTTCAACCACAAGATGGAAAGAAGAAAACTAGGATTGAGAAATTGGTTTTTTTTCAGGAGAAAGGGAGAAGTGGTCGATATCAGAGTCTGACTGAAGCCAAATCATTCAGGTCACAAAAACTAGATCCATGTGAGATACAGTCGGATGTAGCTTTAAAGTACGTAGAAGCAGTTATCATTATTTAATCTTGTATTAATTCATTATAGACACTAAAAAATTTGGGAGAAGTGTTAAAAGCAGCTGGTGTTTCATACAAAAATGGTAAGTAAATAGAGTGAATAAATACGATGAAATTGATGGTCATTTTATTAATTTAGTGATCAAAGTCAATGTATTTCTTCAAGATATGAATGATTTTGCGGCTATGAACGCAGTCTATGCTGAGGGTAGCTGATTGTTTAGTCAGAAAATTGAACAATGTTTTTATTTGTTAATTCTAGTGTTTCCTGAACGTTATCCAGCTCGATCAGCAGTTCAAGTGGCTGGTCTTCCATTGGTAAATTTTAAAGTTTTTAATCTCTAAAATGCTTCATTAAAAATTTAGAATGCCAAGGTTGAAATCGAGGCAGTGGCCATCATGGGTGATATTGAAGATCAATAACTTATCATTCATCTTATGTTTATTATTCATTGATCATTAATTTTTCGTCACTTCAATTCTTGTTTTTGTTTTTAATATTATATTTTTATTTGATTCAGTGATATTGAGAAGTTAAAGAAAAAAAAATCTTTTAAAGAAATGTAAATGAAAATACTAAAAAGAGTCAACATGTTTGTCTTCATTTATTTGGAAAAATAATGGAAAAGACTGATATATTATTTAACAAAAGCTGTTCATATTTCTTTATCAGTCTTTTACTTAGTTCTTTAGAAATGCAATAAGAAAATAATTTTATATATTAGGACAAGACATCACTGATGCATCGTCTATGATTGTATGTTAATAACGTGTATCGCGGTTTGTGTGGAGGACAGGGTAGATCCAAATTTTTATTCTCATACTCCAACACTCCATTTAGATCACGTTTCATAAAATGTCACTAGTATTACAAGATGAATTCATTTTAAAAAGTTCTTCACTGTTAAAAGTAATTCATATGTTTCTAAATTGGATCAATTATAAAATTTTATTACATAATATGTTAACACTTAAATAATAACCGTATTTTAATTCTATTTAACAATTCTAAGGAGTACCTCTTAAATCAAGAGATGTATTGTGTTTCTTTTACTTATTTGAAAAGAAAATGTATTCAATAAAAATACTTTACAGTACGGATAAATTTTGTAATACTAATTATTACAGATACATTTTATCAATTCTTAAATTTTATATGTGATTGAAGAATAGTGAAAAATCACTCGTTGTTTCATGATAATTTCTATGACCAAAGTTCAACAAAGAAACGTTTTACTTGTTAACAAAGTAAACGACAGCTAACTTTCATTCCTTAATTTGGATGTGGATATGGTGAGTGTGAGTCTTCTCGCCTTCCATATCCGCCCTCGCTCACACCCTCATCGTTGTCATGATGCTGAAGTAAATCTTTCCTGTGAATACTATAATCAATTCTAAAGGACGAAACCAAATTCATTACTCTTCTCAAAGTCTCGGACATAGTTTTTGGTGAGTCATAAATGAAACCTGTAAAGCTGTTCATCACTGTTCCAATCATTATGTTTTTAGGTGGAAATGATGGCTTATTTACTCTTTGAGAGTGTGTAGACGTGGATTTTCGGTTTACCAATATTCACACTCACCTCGATCTTTTTTGTTGTCTTTGAATTCTTCAGTCTTCTATTTTCTAAATCTAATATTAAGAAAATGCATTTCTCTCTGAATAGAAATGTTTGATCGGTAGCCACTTAAGATGGCACCATAGCCTTTATCATTTTCTAAATTAAAGAAAACAGCCATGAACTACTTGACTATTTATCTACAACAGGATAATTGATAGATTGAAGTAGAAAGAGAATTTTTGCATTCAAATAAGCACCGATCTTAACTTTTTGAGCATCGAAGAATCATGCATTGATTATCTACCAAATTATTTAAATTTTCTTTTTGCAATTACTCTTTGTAGGAATGGCGTAGTATGTATGACGGAATTTAAAGAAAGTGATCCACAATTCGAAAGCCTATTTCCTACACTTCATTACCCTGAACTTTTTACACACATAAAAGGAATAATACGCATATCTAGTCATGAACTCTGAATTTATTAAATATACTTGTCGACTGAGCAATAAAACTTAATGAATTTGGTTATCAACAGCTGTCTGAAGTCTGCTTAAAGTAATTATTATTATTGTTAACCATTTTGGTATGAATAATGTTTCAAATGCTCAATTACTAAACAAGAAGAGGAATTTGAAATTTAACAGGTTCGTTCTAGCTAGCCGATATCGATGTTAGCTAAATGCGTATCTTTCAGAATCAAAGGTAACATGTAAATTGTATTCAAAGAGTTAAACAGATTTCTTTTTATTAAATTGATATACAATCAAGTCGTTTTCGATACCAATCGCGTTCGAAATCAAGATTATATCTTTCACATAAATCTGAAAATTTTCTGTACATTTGTTCAATATTGAACTTTAGAGATGATTGTAATTTACGTAAACAAACTGGACAGACAAAAAGTGGTTGTTGATCCATTTCAATTTGATTGTTTGCACCATTCATTAGACATAGATAATAAATGCAATGTTTCAGACCAAAAAGATGACCGATTTCATGAAGAAGAATTTTGATACAACGTCGAAGGATAATTGTACGATCCGCATCAGTTAACTTCATATTCATCGATTTGTGTGGTGGCATGGGAAATAATGGATCGAGACGAGAAAACGAATAGACACCGTAACTATCTGTGACTCAAGCTTGTCCATAAACAAAATTGTATGTTTCATCTGGATAAATATCGGCCATGGTCACAGCAACACATAACAATTCTTCACGTGCATTACGTTGACTTCGTGTATGAGCAAGGTATTCAAACAGACCTTTTGTTTGATATTGAATTTGTTTAGTTCCACTGTTAATTCGATTTGGCATTGATTCAGTAAAATCAACCATCGGTAAAATTTTGACATCGCATCCCAAAAAGAATGCTTGGGCGAATTCACCAATCAATTCAAGAGGTGGAGCTCTATATGTATGGACGTATTCAATTAGAAATTATTCGATTGTCCTTAGTTAGTACCTACCTTGGATGTTCAAAACTACCGATTGGCTGGATATAGATCGTTTTGAATCTATAAGTACATAGAATGATGGACATATAAAAAAGCCAAATGTAACGATACTACTGATTTCAAAAAGAAAAACAAATATTGTTGTTATAACTGACCACCGGTAGTAGCTAGTGATCTACGGTTTTCACTCGCACAAAGAGAAATAAGAATTTGACAGATGTATTGTTAATACTGATAAATAAGCTAGTTGACCATTGGTCAGACTGTTTTCAGATTCTCTAGTCAAAAGTTTTTCAGTTCTATTCTATATTTAAAAATTACTATTAAAAGAGAACAAAGCTCTCTTGTGATATGCATATGGCTAAACTGGCTAGATTATTTTGTTCAAAAGTCATGAGCATTTTGTAGAGAGCTTCGATTAGTATTTTCTTCAAAGATTCGTACTACAGTGTAAGTTTAAAAGGTATCTGTACCTTTTTCACGTTTTCCTGGCAAGAAACAAAGTGATGTTTTCCAAATATCAATAATTTCAAAGCTTTTGCTTTTATTTGAAACACTTAATTTTACCATTAGAAACACTAACTCTAATTGTATCCATTTGATTGATTGCTGTCATTGGTTTGCGAGTCCAAAGCAACCTGATGTCACAATATCGAGATTCCTGAAAATTCAACTTCTACCTCTATGAGACAAAGAGAGCTAATAATTTTAAAAATTTTAATACATTGACTTCAGATTACTATGAAACTGAAGAGCTGCATCAGCAATCGATCGAAAGTAATCGACTGGTCCTATATAGATTTATTTCAGACTCATTGACGTTCAAATGGACAAAGTCAGAGTACTCTGAAAAACAATTATGGTCTCAGAATGAAAGAATCTAGCGAGTTTAGCCTTGTTAAGATTGAAAGGGAACTATTTTCTCCAATGAATAGTAATTTTCAAATATAAAATTCAACTAAAACATTTTCACTGGACGATCCGAGAAAAGTTTCACAAATTGATAGGTTAGCTGAGTTATCAGACCTATAACGAAACTATCAAATGTTTATTAATCTTTCTATGAATGAAAGTGACAGGTCGATAACCGCCACTACTTGACAGTTATTACAAAAATATCTTTTTCTTTTGAAATGGACAATACTTGCGTTGAGTGAGGAATTGCTTTGGAAACAACTTGTTCGAATGATTTAAATGTTTAACCATATTCTTGACGTTGATTTAGCCATCCCCAATAGTCAGGCTCTGGTATTGATGCAAAACTTTCGTTGATTCGATTCGTAAGAGCTTTTTGAATATCTGTCGGCAACTAAACAATGATTCATTATGTGAATATAATCAACAGTAATAAAAAATTACATGAATTCAATGAACGAACCTGTGCAGTATCACCAAGTGCTTCAGCGATTTGTTCTTCAGTTGGTGGTACAAATGTCATGTTGCTATCGCATTAAAAAGAAATGACTGTCATGTTATAGCTTCGATTTATATTATGTGTAATACTTACGCAATAGTTAACATTCTTTGCTCAAGTTTGAAATGACTCATGGAAAGAGAACCACAGTAATAAATATTTTTCAAGATGCAAGTAATCTATATCGGAAGTGAAAACTAGGCAATGGTTTGTTTTTTAAAGTTTTACATCAAAAGAGCATCATTGCAAAGCTTAAGATGGTGACCAGCTTACACAAGGTATTGGAAAACAGTTGAAACAAATATCTATCCTTTCTCTATGAATAGACGTTTGTAGAGTATGAATGGTGTGGATTTTCTGGTCTTCTACACCCACACTCACACTCGTGGACACCGACATGCTCTACAAGCAAACGTTCGGTTATCAGTCTCTTCCACTACAAATGCCCATGAACGTATAGTAGTCGATATTTACCTCTGAATATTCTTCCTAAGACATATATTAATGTTTCTATTATGCAATTAGCTGAAAAGGGACTGATCGTTCTCGACACAGATATAAATCAAAATTTGTCCGAACCTCATCGAGAATATTCTGTTCACGATATATTACTCATGTGATCACTCTATACAATTTAATTTTATATTCAGTCGCGATTTCTGTCAATAGTCCACCCTAAAAAAACTTTAAACACCACACCTACACTTCCATCTTCACTACGTTTCAGAGTCGTACAATGTAAGAATCCCTTATTAATACATAGAAATGATCTGCTGCTAAGAATTAGCTAAAGGTTCTCCAGCAAATACATCTTGAAACATTTGTATCATGCTCTTCCAATAGGCTTCGATAAGGGTCTCGCCTTTAGTATAGTGCGAAGGCATAGTTGTAGAATTGAAGAATCTCTCTGCATAGGTGCAAGGCTCACTGACAGTTCCAAAAGGTTCTGTAATGCTCCAAGCAATAAACCGAGGTCAAACATTTAATATGAACCGGTGAGCATTCCTTCATAACAAGACAAATGGCCTGCTATGGCACCTGGTGAGCATGGATTCATGTTAATATTGCTGACAACTTGGAATTCTTGGAAATAAAAAAGTGCATCGATGATTCTTGCAATCCAACCAGCATTCTTGATCTGAGGGTAGATGTAAGAACTCAAGTTTTTCCTTAGATTACCAACTGGAAAGATTCTGGCTCGAAGACTTCTTAGTTCATCACTCGTGCTCATGATGTAAGCAGACCCTTGTAGGTGTGTTCCGTCAGAAGCAACTCCTAGATCAACCAACTGGTTGGCGTGTTCAATACTTAGTACTGTGAATATCATTGCTGGGCATATTTTGAAACCGAGAAACGGCTGAATCGAAGTAGATCCGTAGTATGGTGATGAAGTGGCTCAAGCGCATGTTTTTGTAATACAAGGACTTCCCATCAAGCCAAATGCCAATGCTGACGTGACTGAGCTACATTCGACACTAGATGGCATTGTCCATGTAATCGGAAGTGTCTGTACAGTTTTAGGCAACATCGGATCGACTTGAGCCTTCAAGAGGATGAAATTTAGCTCGACTTAGTTGGATCATATTCGACATATTGAAATGAACAATATTCTCTAAAGGAATATTACGACGTTTTCGATAGTATTCGCCGAAAATAACACTATCTGGATCGCTGTCATTAATTAGACGAGAAAGTTATCGAGGCTGAAGACTACTTCTTTCAGGCCGTGTTACTATAATTTGTGGTGTTTTTTGTGCAAGTCCCCTTTCTAGAATTGAAATTACCATGAAATAATAAGTAACTCCATTATGGAGGCTGGGGACCATAAATGAACCGACAGCTGACTTCATTGTCTTTTGATAAGTTCTGAAAGTTAAACCATAATTAACTCAATAACGCATCGCTCCGGGCACCTCATTTCAAGTCAAGTACACGTTTCCATCATCGGACACTCTATTCAAGATTGAGAAATTTGTTAATGGTGAAGTATCTAAAATTAAAAAGACCTTCCCTAAAGTTTAATATTGTTTGATTAAAAGTTCAGCTTCGATAGGATTCTACATACACAAGTCATCTTTTTGGGCACATATCGTTAGGAAAATCCTCTTAAGCATCAAGGCAAAACAGTCACACTTCAATTTTGTTATAATACTAATTAAATAAAATTTTAAAAAACAGTAAATTTATTGAAAATCGATATTGTATTAGTACAAGAAATATTGAATAGGAAAAGATATTTTAGCTACATACGTCTTATGTCGCACTGATGATAAAATAGAATAGTAAAATGAAGAAATAAATAGATTATGATGCACAGTTAAATATATCGAACAGTAGATAAAAAATCGAATATATGGTGCCCATCTGCAGAATGTAAGTGTGAGTGTGAGGGGTTAGATAAGTGTTAGCTTTCTCCACAGGCACCTTCAAATCAGCATTCACATTCTAGTCTTTCAAAATCAAGTATGTTTTCGAATACAGTTATAAAGTGCTTGTGACGGCATCCGTTTATTGAAAAATCCTCAATGAAATTAGTAAAATAGCATTAATCGTTTCGAATTTGATATAATGCAGCAGAAGAATGCATTGCGTCCAAAAGCGTTTTATGATGAATCTAGAAGTGCACATTTTATACGAGTTGTTCGAAGATTCACTCTTGTTTTTCTGTCGACGTGTCTTAAAGATGTTAGATTGTAGGAATGTGGTCATTGGTAAACAGAAACCCCACGTCCATACCTCTCTTAACTAACTGTTCGATTCAATTGCGCTTGTTGAATAAGTAGAAATTGCAACAACATAGAGAAGACAAGAAAAAAAGAGTATAAAATGGAATTTTTTGGCAAGATATCGGAAAATACTAGATTCAGCTCGTCTATCTCATTATCGACAATACAGCTATGGTTGACACATTTCAAATTCAAAGCCTAGACAAATTTCCATCAAAAGACCATTGTATTAACGAAAACCAATGAAGACACCATAGTATTGTTCTAACATATAAAAATGTCATTAATACCTAGTGAGAGCCCGCTAACACTTGCCGTGAACGTCACAGCGATTGATTCATGGTGAAACTGACAAGGCGGGATAATGGTAATGAAGACTTCTCTTACTCTTAATTGATAGTCATAATGAGTCGTTTAGAATACGTTTTCTTGTGACTGTAAATGCGAAATGAGAAGATGAATCAGATGTGAACATTCTTTCAACCAAACTCACTTGTCTCTGATCCATATTTTCGAACCTATCTATCATTGTGTTCAACAAGAGAATTTTTCGATAGAACTATGCAGAAATCGGACATTAGAGTGCCTGAGTCGGTGTCAATAATCTAATGCAGGTCGGTGATTCAGTCTGTGCTGTTGAGGTCGACGAAAGTTGCTGCGGCAAACAGAAGAATTATGGTGGATGTGTTGTTCTAGTAGAATCGTAAACCTTTGGTGAAATAAACGTTCACATACGACGATCCTTTATAGTTCCTGTTGATTAGTGAGACCTACAGGTATCAATTTTAATTATCAGTCAATACATTCTAACCGGGAACGTACCTTGCTGCAGATGGATGGTGTATCTAACTTTCACTTTGCAACAATGCCAACTACTTTCATTTGACCGTAAACGCCTTAGTAAATTACATAGATCCAAAAACTAGTGTTCCTGCTCATAATGTCGAAAATGTTTGGTTGAAGCCAAAATTTAAATAAAAGAAACAATTCTATCTTCATCGTACATTAATCAACTCTTAGCCCTAAGAAAATATATACATGGTGACAAGAATTCTATGATAAGTTCTGAGAACACATTGTTCGCCAAATTTCTGCTCTCTATTCTGTAACATAATTCCCTTTGACTGTTTTTTTCAAATATTTGATGTCTCTCTCACATCATGTATTGGGTATCTGTCAATCACTTGACATACATCCTATAATCTAGCGTTATCTTCCAAAAACTTCTTTGATTTGATCTATTGCTTTGACCAATCGACTCTTTTTCTCTTTTTATCATTAGTCAGTAATGTTCTATGCAAGCTATAAGTGTATTTATGACTTGTTTGGATGCATTACTTCATTGATCTAATGATTTTTTTCAATGGCAGCAGAATACGTCATAGACGAGAACTAGTCAAGATAGAATCAAACAATGGTGACTATTATCAAAAAGATAAGCCAGCATGATTCATATTTGTACATTCCTCATTTCTGTTCTCGTTCTTTCACTTCATTGGTAGTAACGTTCTGTTTTATCTTAGTGTTCGATTCGATTTAAAGCGCACCAATAGATTGATTGTCTTGACATTTTAGATATGAGCGCCCATTCACGACCAGATTTGTGTTTACTCAGTTGGAATATTTTAGCACCTTGTTGGGTAAATCAAGATTGGTATCCAACTCTATTCGAGATAGCGGTGAATCATCGTGAACGAATAAACAAGATTGCCAATAGAATTTTATCACTTGAGCACGATATTGTCCTAATTCAAGAGGCACAGGAAGATACTGTTCAATTATTGAGAAAAAAACTAGACGAGCATTATGTATTTCATTCGGCATGGAACCATCCAACTGCAGCATCCGTACGCAATGGTCTTCTGACATTAATCAGGAAGGATTGGAAATATGCTTCAACAGCGAGGATGATCCACAGTATTCTTGATTTGGACAAAGGTGAAGCCATTCAGATTATAACAATACCTTCCAAGAATATTCATATCGTCAATCTTCATCTCGATTATATCGATCGATTAGACCAAGCTAAAATGGTGAAAGACAAGTGTAGGATAATGCTTGGTATCGATAATCCTGTGACTATTCTAGCTGGCGACATGAATGCCGAAACAGACGAATGTGATAGATTCGAATGGAATGAATTTAAAGATGTTTTTCATGAATCGAATCACTGTATACGAATTCCAACCTATTATCCGGATCCAGCATGTTCAGAATGCAATACAGCCGTTGATCACATATTCTATAATCCACATCAAATCAAATTAATTGAAAACGGTAAAGCATGGGATACTCCAAATGGATCACTCAAAGATGCTCTAACACAGTTCGGAAGCGACCATATCTATATTTGGGCCAATTTCAACTTTCATCCATAAGCGAATTAAATCGAAGAGAAAACACTTGGTTTGATCGAATTTCATTTGATGTTCTTGTATACTGTTAGTGATATACTTTGTGAAATTCGTTTGCTTGCGAGTGTTGAACTATATGGCGAAAAACCTGAGATAAAACTCACTTCTTCAACGAAATATATTCATCGTACAGAAATGGGAAATTCAAGGAGATTAAATGAGATTCATTGTTGAGAGCGTGCACATCCGAATTGTATGCGCCAATCTTTATAAACTCATTAGTGGAGTTATGTGTGACAGTGTTTCAAGCTTCTTCATTGTAGAATACCTTGAATTACCTAAACTGCTTCGAAATCCAAACAATTCGAGAAAATCAAGTGGAATTAACAGTTTGGTACTCCTGAACTGAGATTGTATGTGTCAGTTTTTGTGACTTCTTCAGTGGATTTATGTTTCTTAATGTTTCGAGCTACCTTCATTTTTGAATACCTCAAGTTTGCCGGCCTCTACTTCAGTATCTGTTGAATTTTCAATTTCTAAATGTCACACCCATCCTCGATGTTTAGCTTCAATCTAATGTTTTCTTTACACGTTTTCCTCTTCGACTTTTTTCTTTCCTGCTTTTTCTGTCAATATAGTTTTGTCCGATATGTAGACTTCATAAAAGGAACGGAGACATACATGATTGACTATATGTCACTGCGAAAAAAAAACTGTCATTGGTTAAATAGGATAAAACAAATCTAATCTAATAGCTCATCAAAATTACCATCTAGTCAATCTGTGGCGCTTCACCAATTCTCACTGTAACGTTCACTAAAAAAAAACATTCATACCACATCCTCCGTTGACAATCGCAGACAATGAAACCCAGTGTCATCTATCTTTCATCGGTTAAGACTAATAGAAGCTCTCTATCTATCAATGCCGATGTTTGCTGTATATATTCAAAGGTGTGTTATCGAATATAGTAGGTCATATCAAGTGCAGAACTCGAGATAAGCAACCTACATTTGGAGATGAAATATATATTCTAGAGAAACGGCATATTTATTGCTCGTGCCTCGTAGAATTCTCGATCGAAATTCATACCTTTGTGAATTCTTCACTACAGACGATAGTTATTATTCTGAATGCATACAGCTATAGTAACAGAGAGCAAAGAGATAGAATCTAGTCGAACAGATGATTTTTCAGAGCCGTTGACACATCGTTTAGCCGATATCTTCGATTGTGAATCGATCTCGCAATTAGTCAATGGTGCCTATCGTGGTGAATCATCTCGTCAAGATCGGACTAACAGTGATGGGTGTGTTGAAGGTCCAAGAATCGACTGTGATATGTTGATGCAGATGATTACCAATGACAGTTCAGTTATTTTGCTGTTTTTCGATCGAGAATCAAAAGTTTTAATTTTGGTTGCGTCTCGTTGCAAGACGCCACGATGGCTAAGAATATTCGTACAGATTGTTCCGTTCCTTTACAGTATGATAAAGAAATCAAAAGTACTCTTCTTGGAATGTTAGTCGTGCGTCTTGACCTACAAAAATAAGGCTACAGAAAATTCATTATATCAGTGGCCGAAAACTTTGCTCGTCGTCCTTAACATGCCCAATTAATGAAAATGAGCATTCTTGTCTAACGAGCTGAATTAGTCGCTTATTACTTTCGTCGTGGTTATTCTGACACTGGTCGACGGCAACCATTTTCAATGCCTGACACTCGAGTTGGTGTTCCAAAGAAAAATGATTTGGAAATTTGTATTTTGGCAAAATTTCTCTAAAGCGTCATAAATCGAATTGCTGAAATGTTGCTTTCGGACTATTTATGAGAGACTTTATTAGGCGACAAAAATTTTGTTCTACTAGAAAAAGAGCTAACGATAATACTTTTTCGATGTTGGCCAATACTTTCTTGCTGTTTTAATTCAAACCAATAATTAAATATTTATCTTTATTCTTAAATGATAGTCTAATATAGTTTATTTATGGAAGCTTATTCGTCTGTCTCAAGATTCTCACTGACCATCAAAAGTATTTCTACGTCGTATTGCCAAAAAAACTGGATTTTCGACAATTGCCGAAAGTTCAATTGATTTGAGATTAAAGTTTCAATACTAAACACAACTTTTGGCAATTGCCGAAAGTCAACTGCCAAAGTCAGTACTGCAAAATTCATGCTATCCAGATAAACGTGATTATCATGGCGGACTTGATAGCACTATCTAATTTTAATAATTACATCTCAAAAAGAAAGCATTATCTGTAAATTCTGTCGAGATACAGGATCACAACCTCGAAATTATTTCAAGTTAAATGGTTGTATTAGACTTGTAGTTTAGATCGATACTATTAATTTCATATGAATAGTTATTTACAGGCGTTATTATGGATCGAAAAGTTACATCATTAATTCTTCCTAGTCAAATACGAAAGTCTACGGGATGCGTGTGTTTGCAGAAAATTTTCAGAAACTCGCCTTTACTTACAAAAGATTGTTTAAAGTGTAGTGTCTTATTCATGAAGATGCAAACTATTTTAAAGATTTGCAATCTTTGTGAGTAAATGCAAGACGACAGCATATACACAGATGTGCAGATCGCAAACACGTGTATAGAGAAACAATTTTCAAAATTTTTAAGCAAAACATATGACACCATGCAGAGCTTTTATTAGTGCATATTTATGCAAAATGTTATCAGCGTATGCCTGCAAAATGACTAGAATTTTGTTAAATTCTGCATGTTAGTGCAAAAAGGTCGTATTTATGAGAACTATCACCAAAACGATTCTGCATTGATATGCAAACTACTGCAATTTGTGTAGGATGCATGCTGCTCTATGCAAGAATGCAATATTTTTCTTCTGCATTTATATATGTGTTCCAAATTAACATGAGACCATTCTTATATACTCTCACTATATTGGTTCAAAAACTTTGTTCAATTTTTCGAATTCACTTATAGTTATTAGGATTCATGTGCACATGTACGTAGTAGTTATCTTCGTTTTTTGCGCATTCTGAAATTGCCTTACATGTACACGCGTGAGCGATCTACAAAGGCATTCATATGTCTTTGCATACAGCAACAATATCAAATGTATACATGCGCAAAATTTCATGCATATAAACGTGAATATAGTTTATGCTCTGACGCGTTCCAACGCATACCGTGTCATAATCATTCATGCATGTATACACAGCACTATTGCTGCGTATGTACACATTTTAAAAGTTTTCGCATTTGACTGGGTTGTTGTTTTTTTTGGAGAGAATGTAACGGTAAAAGAATAATATATTTTAGAGTAAAATGAATCATACATGCTGGAAAAAAAGACCCTAACTAATCGATCAACCAAACATTTGTTGCTCCACTTCGTGTGACTTTTTCGTCTTTTATAGCCATTACCACGTTAAAAGAAAAGCAAAATAACAGCTTGTAAGTTGTTTGTAAAATTAGTTTCGTACTGTGGAAATGAATGCGTGTGTCCTGCAAATGTATATTTTTGAGTATTACTTAATTGCACAGTAACGACATACGTGGGTGAATGCGCGCAGTAGTGTAACAAATTTGATTACTACCCACTGGTTGAAGGTAAATATAGACCAACTATCATTTACATATAAATATGAAACCAAATATCGGAAAAGAGAGTCAACGAAATCGAATAAATTGCCATGCAGTGTTATACGCGTCAACTGATTTCCAAAATCATTCGTATTCCGGTCATCAGACGAGACAACTATTATAGGAATGAAACAGAAATCAAAATGGCTCAACAACAATATCTTAATGTTGATTGCAGCTGTGCATCAGAAGAAATCATCAAAGCGCATCGCACACCTGACGTTCCATTGAATATATTGCAAGAGCATACTATTGAAGAGATACGCAATAAAGGTGCTGAAAAAGAGCCACAATGGAATACGCCGAAAGACTTTACACATTAATAATATCTGATACATTTTGTGTTACATCATTTAATATCTTTCTTTTTCAAGTTTTTAATAAAACAAGAGTGAAAAAAAAAGATTTTCTTTGTGTGTTCGGTTGATTCGTCTTCTTTTCTTTGTAATGTCATTACAAAATTGAATATTTTCTATTTTTTTTCTATTTCATTTCATGATATTCACTGTTAATGGACAGTTTCATTGCAAAAATATTTAGTCTATTTCAGATACGAACAAACGCGGATTTTACAGTAGAACTTAAGTATTCATAAGAAAAATTCTTTTTTTCTTGTATAGCATGAATCTTCATGCATTTGTTACGGAGAAAAAAACACATCAATGTCACTATGCACTCAAGCAAGAGATGTTTTTGGCATTCTTTTCGTCCCAAGAGCAACTAATGTCATTTTGATCTCTCTCCCTGTACGTATAGATCAAGTTGTCAGTATTTCTTTTTCTAGTAATTTTCGTCGTTGATGTATGCTTGTGCGCGTACTTGAAGTTTGGAATAAAATGAAAAACAAATATTAACAAACATCTAATCAAGATTAGATCATACAGAAGTGAATTAAATCTGTTCGAGTCAGTTGAATAGAAACCAAAAACATCACATAAGAGTTCAAGTAATTACTTCAATTTTGAATATTTAAAGTGCCTCCCAGCCTTTGCATAATACTTGCTTTCAGCTTCAAAAATCCGTTTAACTTCTATCTTGACCAGAAATCGAATGACAGCTATAGGATAACCTTAAACAAACATTTGTAAGTGTCTCGATCGAAACGTACAAATCATTTTCCTCTTCTAGTTCAATTGTTTTAGATGAACAAATCATTGAGTACCATATAATGCTTGTCAAACTGCATCTACATATGTAACAATCTTTCACTGACAAAGGATATACAAAAACAAAAATTCAATACAATAAGGCGTAGTCCAATCTTCGTCTTAAGGAGCCTCAGTTGTAGAGACTCCGAAAGCTGTCAACTCTCTATTTGCGACAAACAAAATAAATTTCAAATGCGTAGAAACATGAATACCTATTGTGGACATGTTTTGAATACTTTGCCTTGAAAAGGAAAAGATGCAAGCATGATCTATCAAAATAAAGAAGAATATTTGCTTAGCTATTGTCTGATCATCGAACACTTTTTTAAAGTCCCGGACATACAAAAGCAAAAACAGAAGTTTTTATTCTTTTGTTTATAAATGGTTCGAGTGTGATGAACTAACCAAGACTATCTCTGTTGTCAATTTTTTAGAGTGATTTGACACATGAAAATTTTCAGTTTTTTTTTTAAATACTTTCACTCACTTGCTAGTAGGAGTCAAACTGATCTACAGCAGACGGTTCTCATCTACTAGGGTTAATATACTATAGTGCACTCGTAGATCTGCACATCTAACAACTAAACAACAATTGATTCAGATGCAGCAAGCGATCAGTTGTTTACAACGCAAGTCGATTATCGACAGCGCAAGAAAGGTAGGAAATAAAATGTAAATCTGTCAAACTAAATATATGCATGATCTATTTTGTCGTCTGTTTGAAGGCCTTGTTATTGTTATGGCTTATAGCTCTGCCTTGAGCAGACTGAAAACACTCGTTGAAATTGGTACAAATATTTCCATTAAAGGATTTGTTGATCAGTGCGTACTTTATTGCACTTTGAAAATATCGTTTGCCAATTTTTTCTTGTTCGACTTACTGGTTGCTGTCATTATGCTTCTAATCTGCTGGTTGTAACTACAAAACTTGTACAATCGCAAAGAGTAAGTTTGCAATCATACTCGTTGTTATCATTTTCATCTCCATATGCACAATTATGGAATCTTTCGGTGGAAAGCCAACTTGAATTTGCACGACTCGCGGAAACATTTGAAAACTATTCTTAAAAAGCAATACCATGACTTAAGGGCATACAGCTGGTGTCAGCGCACTGTTACTATTCTTTTCATTGTCTTGATCTTTCTCTGGGTAACAGGCAACTTTTAAGAAGCTCTGAAGGACAAATCATATTTGGGAAGAAGATTTAGAAGATAATTTTAATATAGGAAACTATCTGCCTTGATTAGAAAATCGGAAGTATAACTCGATTATTCAATAAAATCAACTGTCGAAATCATTTCTATGGGGTGTATTCAAATTGTAAGGTGCTGGATTAGCTATTGCTGATGGATTCAAAGTTTGTTTTCACTTGACGAATATTTTTCTACATGTAATTGCGTTTATAGACATCAAAACTATCGACAACTATTGTTCGTCTTCTTTACTTCATTGTTGGAGCATCTAAAACACTCATAATTTTTATTGTAATTATCATCAGTGCTATTTTCACCGAATTTACAGGAAATATCGCATGTGCTAGCATCTTAATTCCTATTCTCGATAGTATCGTAAGAAATTTTGCTTTTCACTTTCTCTATCATTCAGCTTCTACTGTCCTTTTTTTTCGTTAAGTCTCACACGATTAACAAGCATCCAACTTATCTTATTATGTCATCATGCATGGCTGCTTTGCTATCGTTCATGTTATCATTCGGTAAGTTGTTCGTTTTCATTTTTGTTCGAGTCAATAACAAATAACTGTTTCTAGCTATTCCACCAAATGCCATGATATTCTCCAATGGTCATGTAAGAATCATGGATTTGCTCAAAGCAGACATTAGTCTTGAAATTATCGTTATCTTTGTAATTTTGTTTGCATCGATCACTTTTCTTGGACCTATCTTCCATGCTTCTCAACCATCGTTCATTAATAATGTCACCATGCCAACAAACAATACGATGGAATGATAAAGATGAAAGACATACAAACATTTTTTTATCTGCTCTATCGAATGTCCTATAGCTATTTCTGATATATTTTTGACCGCTATCAACATTTTTTGAAAATAAAAAGAAATGATAATTACTGCAATAAATTATATTATAATTCATAGAAGCGTGATTAGGCACGAGAAAAAGTGTATGCATCATAAGACAAATAGTCTATACATATTAAGGATGAAACTTATCCTCAAGATTATAGTTGCTCATAGCCTAGACGATCCGACTTGGATATAAATACTTTGACGCTTGCAAATTTTCAAAAAGATAGTCTCTGTTGTCCTGGGTTGATGTGTTCTTATGAATGGAGCCCTTTTCTACATCTACTTCTGTCTTGTTCTCAAAGAAATTAATTTAATCTCGGAACATCCATTTGAAAAAGTAGCAATTCTTTCGAAAACATATTGAAAACAATAGTGCTTTATGGACCTCGGTCCTTTTATCAGTAATGCATCCAGACATGTTTCGACAAAAAAATATATTTCTATAGATACTATAGAGAGCATTGCAATATAAATTGAATATAAAAGTAGATGTATTTCTTTTTATTAAAAAAAAGCAGAATACAAAAGAAAAGAAAAAAACAACAAACTAATGAATTATGAGTAAAACTAACATAATCGTTTGTATAAGTATAAGATAAACAACAAAAAAAGAACTATGAGTTGTCGACTATTTGAAGAAGAAGAACGTACACGTAAATATCGTCTTCATCGACCAAATTATCCAAAGCAATTATATGAACATATTATTAATTATTATTTTAATGGTAATCAAACAGATAAAAAAAATTCCACTCGTCCTTGATGTTGGATGTGGTAACGGTCAAGCCCCAATTGGACTTAGCGTGTAAATATCATTGTTGCTCTTTGTGTACAAACATCTTTTCAAAACAAAAATGAATCTTTATTTTAGATACTGTGATCGAGTGATTGGTGTTGATGTTAGTGTTAATCAAATAGCACATGCTATGCAAAAAGATAATATCGAATATCGATGTAATAAAGCAGAAGACTTAACATTTCTGGAATCAAACTCAGTTGATATAATCACTGTTGCTACATCATTACATTGGCTTAATCTTGAAGTATTTGTTGAAGAAGTTAAACGTGTATTGAAACCTAATATCAGTGTTTTTGCTATATGGACATATGGATTTGTGTACATCGGATAATCCAATAGCTGATGCTATTTACCGTGAGTTTGTTCAGATTACATTATATGCTTATTGGAATAGTAGACGATGGTTAACTGATAGGTATTATCAATCACTTTTACTATTATTACTCTACAAATCAACTCTTGTTGAATATACAATTGAACAAACAATAAAAACATCAATAGGACAATATATTGATTTAATTGAAACTTATTCTGCATGTCAAATGTATAGAAAACAAAAATTTGAACAAGCATAACAAGATCTAATCGAAACATTTCGTCAAAAAATAATTGATTCTTATACAAAAAATTAAAATCAAACTACTAGTAATGAAACAATCAATTGCAATTCAATTAAATTATCAATGTCAAATCCCATATGACTTTATTTAGTGGAAAAAACTTAAATAAATTAAAATTGCACTAGTAGTTTCTTTTTTTCTGTTTTCATTCTTATTCGAATGTTACAATAAATAATGGTAAAGCAAGATGAGAATCAAATATCACTATTTCATCATCATCATCATCATTATTATCATCTTTCATTTCCATGTCAAATATCTAATAAAAAGAATTAAAAAATAAACAAGAAATAAAAAAATTATATTAAACGAACTTTAATTGAATCATATTCTGTATTTCTTTTTAATGTAATAGTTGATTTTATTTTTGATTTAGATATAAGTTCAATACGACCTAATGCAACTTTACAAAGAAGAATTTTCTCAACTTTCTAAAATTTAACAAAAAAATAGAAAATGATTACGAAATTAAAAAAAAGTTACCTGTGCTTGCAAGTTTTTTATCATTGAATGAAAATAAAGACCTTTTCCAAATGAGCCATATAGAAAATCTAAATGAAAAGGAAAAAAGAAAACAAATCAATCAAAATCAATTGAATTATTCATTAATGTTAAACCTTCATTAGTAAAACCAGCATTGGCTATTATATCAAGATGATCATGATGACCATAATAAAAAAGTAATGTTTCATTTTTTTGACTACCATTATGTAATGAACCAAGAGAACTTTGATATAAAGCTGTTGTAGCTGAATCAACAGTTATCTAGATATAAAATCAGATTATTTCTTATTTCAAACAAATATTTAAATGAAGATTTGTTTCTATTTTCTCTCCACAGACTGTGTATCAATAATGTCTTGTTAAACTACTTGCCTTTTGCATTTCTGAAGGATTAAGAAAAAGACTGATGAAGAAATGTGTTTCAAAATAGAGCGAATAAAACAACCTCTATGTGATTAACAGAAGTAGCTACATCGTATCATATTTTAATTCGACAGTATAGTAGACATTTTTTCATAGACCGAATGGACATTAAGTGTTGTTTTAATATAAAAAAGGATTCAATTTCTGCTAATTATAGCTGTATCATGTCTCAAATGTTAATACAATGTGAAAAAGTCGAATCTGATTAAAAAAAAAAAACTTTTTTCTACTGATAATTTCCTTCTATGAAAGTTTTGTGTGGTTTGAATTTGTGAAACATTTCGCGAATCTATTATACTGAACAAATGTTTCTGTAAAGTCACTCGATGTCAAAGGAGAATAATTTTTTTTCAAATACTAAGTAGATAAAAGTGAAAGTTCCTTTTTTTTAATGAATTTATAAAGTGTAAGACATCATTTGAGATCACAGATAATTTTTGCAGAAGTGCTTTCTTAGTATTGTTCACATTAAAAGAGTTCCTAATTCTAACTAGCGGTATTTTTCGACTGATGCTAAAATAAGAGAAACAATGACTTTTATATCCTTCAATAACTCATGGGTCAGAGTGCTATGTTGCTGTATTTAAGTCATTAAAAAGTAGACTTTTAATTTTTCACCTGATATCTGTTCGAATGTCCACCGTACGCAGATAATGAACTAATAGTTTTTTGTTCTAGTGTATCTCTTGTTCGTTTCAAAGTAAGAGAATATACGACTACGTGCTCACGAAAATCACTTATATAGCTCGAAGATTACCTCTTACAAATTTATTTTCGTATGCATTGACGATCCGAGATTTTCAAAATTTGATATGAAGACAAAGGCATAATCATTATAGATTCAGATGAATTATGTTCATTTTTAATAGATTATAATCTAGTATAGAATTTATTTCTTATGTTATTTGCAATTAAAACCAATACGAATAATAATTTGTTACGTGAATAGAAAATGTTTGTTCTTATTCGAAATTATTAACAAACAAGATGTGCAATCATATAAATTCTCTGGTGGAATATTTGTTATGTTAACAAAAAGAATTCAAAATAAAAAAAAACCTTTTTTGCTTTAATTTGATAATTTTCAGGATTTTTAAGTTTATGTGTACAATATTCAATTGCCATTTGTGTATTACAATCATCATCCATCAATAAAGACATTTGAGCAATTAAAAGTTTTTCATTTGATATAGATATTTTTTCCATGTCTTTAATCATTTGATGAGTTTCAAGTTGTTCAATATCTTAATAAAAGAAAAATATTATATAGATTTATTTATTGATAAGAAAAATCTTTTATATTTACCTTCATTGTTTTCTTCTGCATATGTTTTTGATTGAGATAATTTTAATTCTTAGTAAATTTAACAAAATTATCTTTAAAAAAATTGTTTTTTGTACGCAAAACTTACTAAGCGAAGCATTTTCTTTAGCAAGTAAAAATCGTTCACGATTCAAAGAAATAATTATTTGTTCTTGTGTATTTATCTTAATAGATATTTTTAATTAATAATAATAATACTAAAGAATTAATGATTTACCTTAGCATATAAACCAATCATTTCATTTTTTAATCGATTAAATAACGCTGCTTGATTTTGATAACTACTGAACATTGTTTTTTGCCTAAAATAATAAATAAATTATTGAACATAACTAAATCAAATATAAATACCATTTTTGAAATTGATCATCCATCATAGTCAAACATCGAATAGGATCATCATTAACAACTGAAAAACTAAATATTTTTATTAATATTTATATAAAAATTTTTAAGTCTTTATACGAGTTTAATTATTGTGAAACATGATCAAAAAAGGAATCCATCAATCGTGATAGACGTTGTTGATATACGATCACAAATTGTATATCAATAACGTTTCGTTAAAGTATATGAATTACTTTCTTATTGTATTTGTAGAGGATTAATAGTGAAAGACGATGAAGAAATATGTCCCGAAATAGATAGAATAAAATCTGTATATTATTTTATAGTTCAGGTAGTCAGCAAATGAGGTTTTCTGACTTTCTGGATGAGTATGAACGGTGGTAGCTTTTTGTACAAGTGTTAGTTGTATTTTTGTACGGTCGTGAATGATTGCATATTTGTTATAATGTCTAGATCAACATACAATCCCATATGAAGTAACTGTTTCAATATAAATTTGAACTTTGTTGCATAGTCATGATTATCTACTATTGTTGATGTAAGAGTTACAATCAGGAAGACTTTTTCCTTTATCGATATCGGTACTACTCAGACTGAACTAGACCGACATGAGTCATTTTTCATCTTGTCACAGTCATATCAACCTGTCGATTAATCATATCTCTCTCTGATTGACAGCTTGTGACAGATATATCGATATGTCTTTCACACTCCTATTGGTATTCCGACACGTTGGTTTTTGTTTCTACCATGGTCTATCATATAGATGATGGGGTTTCCCACCATGATGCAAGTAACACCATTGCGTTTCATATTTTAATCCCCTAAGGATGACACTGAAAGTTTTCCTTTGCTATATTTTTCTATAATTACCATCAGTAAAAATAGTTTTGTGTACGAAGAAGTCTATACCGACCGTTTACTATTACTAGTTACAATTTTGGTTTATACTTTGTTCAAGTGTACTTGTAGTTTAGAAATTTCCAGAGATTATTATCAAATAAATGACAGTTTCCTTTTTTTTTCTCAGAAAATATTTTGGAACATCAATTGAACGAATACATAATTTCACAATGTTAATTATACGGATTTTGATGAAATGACTACAAACTCCAAAGAAGTGATGTTATAGTTTTTTGCTCACGCTGAATGAAATAACATTATAGACCAGAATTCAATCACAATTATTTTCTAAAAAGTCACTGTATCGCACAGGAATATGTAACGCGCCTGACGGTAACTGAAAAGCTTTTTGTTTGCTTGCATTGTCCTCATATTTGTTGCGCTTTAATATTTATTAGGACATACTGCTACATGTCTGAAAAATTAGTTATAAATTAAATTACTTTGTTGTCAGTATAATTTTTTATCAACATTTATTAAGATTTTAATTTATACATTTAATAAATGAATATGAAACGAGGTAATAAAACAAATCATATCTCAGAAGAAATGAGTCTGTTAACGATTAAATACCTTCTCTTAAATTTTCATCATTTCATGCACACACTTTTTTTTGAAATTCCTATCACTAGAATTCAACAGTTGGTATGAATAAGGCACGGTTACTCAAAAATGAGTCCTGCTTAAAGTTAACGTGTGAATTGTCTTCATTAGAGCTCATCGAGTTGATCCCAAACTCGGTCATATATGAAAATTTTGCGCCTAATGGAGTCTAGTCGCCAAATACAAAAAAAAAAATCAGAAGAATATATTTCGTATCTTTGGAATGACTATTCTATTTTGAGTAGAAAATTTCATTGAAAGTATTAAAGTAAGGTTTCCCCGAGTTACAAAATTTCGAATCAGATAGGTTCTGGCTTCCGCGTGAGCAGTGCAATTTTTTGTTAATTGATTAACTACTGCATAAGAAGTATATTTAAAATATTTATCTTTCTTTTACCATTATATGGTGGTAAATAACACATTTTTGTTGTATTTGTCCAACAATCACCAATATCTCTAGAATGAATAAGGAATGGATTTTTAACCATATAAAGAAAAAATTCTTTACTTGTATTTGCTTAATATTATAGAATCTTCTGTAAAACCAAATTTTCGATAAAAATCAATAGCACTTTGATCAGATGCTGTTATAATAGCATCATATTCTCCAATATAATCATGAGTCATTAATAACTAACACATACGAAAATTAAATTAAAAAAAAAGGAAAATAAAAACAAACAAATTCTATTTTTACTTTCATTAAATGTCGACCGATTCCTCGGCCACGAAATTTTTTTCGACAAGCCAATAATTGAAGATCTAAGACATGTTCTTCTTGAGCTCTAAAAAAGAACATAATGAAGTTTCGACATTAAATTTTCTAAACATACGGTAATGGAAATATGGT